TTCTGGCTACCCTCGGAGTTCCTACTCCTACTCCTACTCCTACTCCTACTCCTACTCCTACTCCTACTCCTACTCCTCGACCTGATATCCGTCCTGATAATCAATGAGAAGGTATCTTATGGGATATTAAGAAATTTCTAGGTGGCAATCCTAGTTCGGACGAAATTAAAAACTGAGAAAAAAGCAAACCAAACGAAATAAAACCATTAGAAGGAATTGATTTAAATGGAGCAAGTAAAACAACACTAGAAGCCCTTTATAATAACCGTGGCAAAGGTGGCGATGAAATTTTTAATAAAGCCAAAGGCAAAGCAGAAGTGTGAAAAAATTATCGTTCTCTAAGTTCAGCCGGAGACGGAAATTGCTTTTTGAATTCTTTTGCTGTCCTCTTGACTGGTAGTCAAGCACGAGACTCGACCAAGGAAAATCCCATATCCCAAGAAAATGTCGCTACTCGGCTAAGGGTAGCCTTATGTTTAGAATTAATGAAAAATTATAACTCTTCTGAACTAGATGATTTAAAAGAGTTTGCTGATAATCATTTTGCACTTGTTACCGACCATGCTCGGTATGTGAACAGAATTCTTAAAAGACCAATTATAACCGTTCACAAAGACGATCAGGCATATTCAACTTTAAAAAGTCCGAAACAAGGGGGTATCGTTTGACCTCCCCCATATAAAGATGATATAACAATTAGCGAGGAACCTTTTGTGGTTTATCACATAGGGTCTTTTCATTTTGAGCCTCTTTTTCAACATAAAAATAATGAAGGAGAAATTCGTTTAAATTATTCGCGAGTAGATTTTGAGGATGAAGGTAATGCACTTAATAATCGCTCAATTGTCTTTACATTGAATCCAGGAACCTTTGAAAAAAAACATTTTTCTGAAACACAAAACACTAGACTAAATGGTATTACAGTTAATAAAATTCGTGTTTTATATAAAGACCCCGAAGAAGAAGTAGAAGGAGCGTTTATTGCCGAAAAGCGAAACCATATTATGGAAAATGGAACAAAAAAAACAGATAAAAATATTGCTATCTATATCATTGGAGCCGATAGAGTTTCGGACGACAGCGGAACACTTAATATTGACTATAATGATTTTCATACAATAACGATATTAAATTAAATTTTAAACGAAGAAATAACAGAAAGAAATTAAATTAGTTTTTAAACAATTGTGGTTAAAATAATATTATCATGTTACTAATTAGACAAACGAGTTGTGATTAATAACAAACTAACTTCCATCTAATTCCTAAACCAGTTATCTATCCGAAAAAGTTGGAATTGAAGGTGGTGAAAAAGCAAAATTAAACTCATTTCTTAATAAATAACCAATAAAAATAACATATATGTCAAAAATTGCTAATCGAACTATTCCGATACCTCAAAATGTAAAAGTTAACTTAGGCAAGGAAAAAATTTTTTTCGAAGGTCCCTTAGGAAAAAGCAAAGAATTAACTATTCCCCACCAGTTAGAAATTACCAACCAGGAAGGAAATATGTTTACCAAATCAGAAAATACCGCTTTGGCCGGAACTTATAATTCCCTAATTTCCAATCTGATAGAAGGAGTGGTGAAAGGGTATGAGGATATTTTGGAAGTAAAAGGGGCTGGTTTTGGAGTGAATTTGAAAGAGGGAAAATTAGAGTTTTCTTTGGGTAAATCTCATTTAATTTATGTGGTTATTCCTCAAAATTTAAAAGTAAAAATCGAAAGAAACAAAATAATAGTTAAAGGTTTAGATAAACAGGAAGTTAGAAGTTTCACCGCTAATGATATTAGACCTCTATGTATGCCAAGTGTCTATAAATTATCTAAGGGTTGGAAAGGAATTTATTATAGCGGCGAAGAAAAAACTCTCAAACTGAAAACCGGAAAATCAGTAAGTAAGTAGAAAGACACAAACCGAATTAAATTTTAATTAATTTAAAATAGCGGTAGCGAATTCCCCCTTGGTTTTTTGGCTAATTCATAATTCAAAACCGAAAAAGTTTGTTGGTCTGACTAAATCCATTAAAAATTTTCTAGACATTTCCACTTTTTAGAAAAAACAGAGCGGAAAAAACCTTCTTTTTATTACATTATACAAAATTAAAGCATCTGTTTTTTATTCTTTGTTTAATTACTATGTAATTTGGTTTTATTAAAAAAGCGTGATAAGAAAAATTGTATAATACATTAAGGATGAAAAAAAGAAATCAAAAGATAGTTTTTTGAACTTACCATTAGACTACTTTTTGATTAAGCAGAAATAAAGTTGATAAATTTCGTTCTTTTCAACCTGGTTAAAAATAATCAGGCTTTCCCTCGAAATAAAACAAGGCAAAAGAATATTCCGGTAGGTTTCTGCTAATTACTACTTGCTCGAATATTTACCGATAAGGTAATTAGCGAAACAGTTATCTAATGCTGTTGAAATTAGGTGTCCGTGCTAGGCAAAAATAGCAAAATAATATAAAACCATATGAAAATAACTAAATTAATCATACCTTTATTAGGTATATCACAAATAAATAATGCTAACCAACCAGAATTATTGCAATTAGAAAAATTGCCCGAAATTTTTTATGAAGTTTTGGCGAAGGATAATTGGGATAAATATCACTACTTAAATAATGAAATATTAACTGATAAAAACACAACTGAAAATTTAACCCAAGATATAAAACTAGGACCATTCTATCATGCTTAAAATATCACTTTGACTAAAAAAACCAAAAACCGAGCAAACAAGTTTAGAACATATAACTATTTCTAGTCCCCAAAAAGTTTCAGAGGGTAGATTAGCGGGCTTTTATGCTTGTGAAGTTAGTTTACCAGAAATAGGAATAATGGAACACCCATTTTTTTCGGCTAATCCAGTTGAAACGCTCGGAATAGCCGTTGAGTGTACCAAAATATATTTACAAGGTCTTATTTCTCGTGGTTATACTATTAGCGAAGTAGAAAATGGTGAGGTTTGAAAACTAGAAAAAAAAGACCCGCAAGTTGCTTTACAAGAAAAGTTAAGCGAGATAAAAAATAACCCCGATATCCCTTCGGAGGTAAAAAATAAGATATTAGGGATTTTCAGCAAAACAGAATATCGGTTAAAAAAGCAATAGATAGAATATAAAAAAGTTGTGATAGAGTAAAGGGGACTTCTCTGCCCCCTAATAATCAAACTCCCTCAATTTTGTGTTGCGAAAAAAATTAAGCAGTAATTATTTTTGGTTTAAATTGTAAAAATCTATTAATGAGATACAAAGATTTATTAAATACTAATGATATTTTAAATTTGTTAATCAATAAACTTAACTTTTCTCCCAAACAAATGGGAAAAAGTATTTTTTTTCTTTGCCCTTTTCATGGAGACAAAAGTCCTAGTTTAAGTTTTGAACCTAATCGCAAAATATTCACTTGCTTTACTTGCGGCTTTAAGGCTAACGATATATTTAATTTTTGAGCCCAATATAAGAAAATTAACGTGGAAGAGGCGGTGGAAGAAATTGGGAAAATGGGTTATTTTTCTCTCTCAATTTTACAAGACAAAAAAAAACAAGAGCAAAAATTCAAAAGTAAAGTTTTTCACTTGCTTTTGTTAATAAACGATATTTACCAACATAATTTATTTACCCAACTAGGTCGGGAAGTTTTGAATTATCTCCAAAATGAACGACAAATAGACAAAACAATAATCAACCGTTTTAGTTTAGGGTGTAGTATTAGCAACCGCCAACTAAGCAATTTATTTTTTTTTCAGAAAAACGACAACTTTTCCTCGGACGATTTATTATCTACTAATCTTGCTTGAATAACTGACAATAATCAAGTTTACGATTTTTTCTCTCCTCAAAAATTAATCATACCATTAGCCAACCCCGAAGGAAAGGTAGTGGCTTTTGCCACTCGGAAAATTGAAGAGGCATCGACCAGCGAACCCAAATATAAATACTTGCCTAGTTACCATCATTATCATAAATCCTCTTTATTGTATAACTATCACTTGGTAAAAAAACTCCGCACAGAAGAGTGTTATTTAGTAGAAGGTTTTTTTGATGTAATTAGTTTGAATAAGTTAGGGATAGAAAATTGTCTGGCTCTGTTAGGAACCAATTTATCCGAAGAACAAATTAGACTTCTAATTGAATTAAAGAAAAAAATTATTCTTTTTTTAGACAGCGATGAAGCCGGTCAGGAAGCCACTATTAACGTAGCAGTGAAGTTATTGTTGAAAGATATTGATTGCGAAATAGTAATAAACCATTACGGAAGCGACCCAGACGAGATTTGTCGGCAAAAAGATAAAGCGGCGGTGCAAGATATTATTAGTGTCAAAGAGAATCCTTATCTATTTATCCTTAATCGGTGTTTTGTCAAATGAGAAGTCCGAGACAACCCCCAAAGAATTAGCCGTTTTATTGGTGAAATTGCCAAAATTTTTCAAGACTTTAAAATAGGTATTCGGAGTTTCCTTATTGAAAAAATAAGTCATTTAGTAAATTGAAACAAAGAAGAGGTAGAAGCCTACTTTATTCGCTGGAATTTTCCGGTTCTCACTCCCCAATATTGACAAACTATTCATTGTCAAGAAATGATTAGTACCAAAGAAAAAGAAATAGTTGCTTTCTGTGCCCAAGAGCGGGGTTTTTGATTAGTTGTTAGCAAAAAAAATTATTTTTTTTTCAACAAAAGGGAACGAGAAAACTACTATAAAATATATACATATTATACCTCTTCCTCTAATAATAAATCTTTTAGAGAAAATAATTTTTCGACGGAGAAGTTTATGACTCCTCTGCCTGAAAATGGAGCCGTTGATTCAATTTTTCAAACACTAAATAGAATTAAAATATTTATGTTAAAAAGTTATGATTAGAATGAATAAAAATCAAAAAATCCCTCTGAAATCCTTTGGAGGGAAAAGAAGAGGTTGTTTTTTTATCATTTTTCAATTTGCTGACTCGGTTAATTTACAAAAATAATAATGCAACCAACAATTAACTACTAAATATTATTATATAAATAACTATGAAAAAAATCGCTAATCTGACCCATAAACAAGAGAGAATATTATTAAAAATAGCCAAAACCGGCAAAGGTGAGGCTAAAAAAAAAGCTATCTGGCTATTGATTTATCACAACCAAAAGATAGTTAAGTACATTGCGAAGGGTTATTCTTCTCTGCGAGGGAAAGTTGAGTATGATGATTTAATTGACGAAGGAATTAGTTCTTTGCCAAAAGCGATAGAAAAATTTGATATGAATGTCAAGTACCGCTTTTCAACTTATGCTATTTATTGGGTTAAACAGTTTTTTCAAACTTTTATTAACCAAAGCCAACTTATTAAACAGGGTCCTAATATTAAGGAAAAAAAAAATCTGGTTTTTTATGATAGTAATTATCAAGATAACGATAATGATAGCCAATCTTATTCCTTAGCCGACACTTTAAATGATAAAGAAAATTCTGAACTTGATGTCCGACAAATTCACCAAAAAGATATTGTAATTCAAATCAATAACGCCATTAATTCACTAGCCAATCGGGAGGAAATTTTATTAGTCAGAGCATGGCATAAAATAGCACCAACCAATTTACTTGATATATATTACCTAGCCACCGAGGAGGAAAAAGAAGAATTAAAAAAGAAATTAAAGTTAAGCGAAAAATTTAATCCCGACCTACTGCAAAAACACTCTTTGGAAGAAAAAAAAAATAGCGATTTAACCATGGCTAAAAAATATTTGGAAATGTTTGCTAAAAAATATAAGTCTTCGGAGTTAGTTGATTTGTTGAATAAGTCGGAAAATGCGATTAGAAGGCTAAAAAAAGAAAGTTCTAAAAAATTACAAAAAATCGCCCAAGAAAGAAATCTCCATTTCCTAGTCGGACAAAATATATAAATTAAAAAAAATAGAATAGGGGCGGTAGAAATTAGTGTGACATTCGGAAAATAAATTAGTTGTAAAAATATAATATAATAATAAAAATACGATTATGACAAAAAAAACAACAGAAGAAATATTCAAAACTAGTGATATAAAGATGGGTCTTCTCAATCTGGAAAATCACAAATTACAGAGCAGCAAAAAAAATGCTATTGAGTCGCTCAAAATATTGTATACCGGTAATTTAAACAATGTTCGGAATAATGACGATCATTGAGTAAGAAAAGGTTATTACGTCGAAGAGGTCTATTTTTCGGATATTTCCTCGGCATTAGAAGATGCTTTAAACGAAAAAAAAGTCTTTATCAAATGATTTTTAGAAAAATATCCCCAGTATAACATCCCCTATGAGCCGGCAAAAAATTGATTCGGAAAAAGGATAACCCTGGAAGATGGTTCATATTTTCGGGTTTACCCTTCTAGGGTAGCCCGCGAACGCGATTTACTTTTTGGCACTAGTGGCACTGAAATTGTAACCGCGGATAATTGACGAGAAAAAATACGGGATGCAAAAAGCACGGAAGAAGTTCGAGATATTAAGTGTTTATTAGATAGCGAACAAATGGTAGATAATTTTATTAGTTGTGTTAAAATTTATATTGACTTGTTTGTTCAAAGCATGCAAAATTTAAAATGCGAGGGACGCAAACCGCTTGCTCCCCAATATCCAGATAAATATAAAGATTACTTTAAGGAAAATTGATTTAGGGGTGCGGTAGAGTTGTTGGAGAACAAAATTAAAGATGTTAATAATAATTGGGGAACTCAAACCTCCCTCAATAAATTTCACCAATTACTCAATGGATTTCGTTACAAAATCGGTTCTCACTCTACCATTGGAATGAACCGGTTTCATTTAACTGCTCGAAAATTAATAGAGACTGAATTGCGAAGAGTCCGCGATTGAGCCAAGGGAGAAGCCCAAGAAAAAGGAGTTTCTTACGACTGAACGCCTTTTCCGACTACCAATAACGAAAAATCAGGACCAATATCTCCTCCTGCTCCTCCCAGAACAGATGACCCGAGAATAGATAAAAATAAAGATAAAAAACTAATTGAAATTAGAAAAAAATGAAAAGAGGTTAGCCAAAAAGTTCAAACCCATACTGAAAATGACGAAAATCTAACTAAAAATCCTTCCAACAAAACTGAAATTGAAAAAGCAATTAGCGAGTTAGAACAACAAATTCACAATTCTGAGAAAGGAGGGGAAGAAAATGTCAACACCGCCGTGCTTACTGAATTACGAGAGGAAATTAGAACTTTGAAAGACCAGTTAAAAATTATTACTAAGGCTTTGGTTTCCCTCCAAGAATATTTTAAACAAAATCCTTCGGCTTTGGATGCCTTGAAACAATATTTCCTCAAACACAAAATTAAATCAATTAGATTAGAAGGGAATAGTTGAATAATTGATTATGAAGGCAAAAATTCTTCTAATATGGAGGTAAAAAATGTCCCCGAACTTTTAGAAGCCCAAAAATATTTGATAACTAATAACCGAAATGCTCTAATGAGAGAAGAGATAGTCAGTTCTAGTAATATGCCGCAATTAGACCTTCCTAGCAACAAACTACTTTATATCGTAGGAGGAGGGTTAGTTCTCGTATTAGTGGTATTCCTCGTTGGAATTTTTTTCCTAATCAGAAAAAAAAAGTTAAATCCGGAGTAGAATATGGTGGTTAAAAGTAAAAAAAAAAATCTGGTTTCTCAAAAATATTATACTAGTCTTCTTTTTCCCTCTAAATTTAGTGGTGAAAAAGAAAATAAATACTTAGCAAAGGATAATTTCTGAACCAAAGACATTTTTACCACCGCCTCTTCCAATTTTTTAGTTAATTTTCTTCCTCACCAAAATGCCTCGGTAATTAGATTACTGGCAAAAAAAAAATTTGAATTATTTGGAAAAACGGCAATGGATGAGTTTGCTTGCGGTGGAACTGGGTTATTGGCTAACACCGGAATAATTACTAATCCCTATAACTCTCAGCATATCACCGGAGGTTCTTCTTCGGGTTCGGCAGTAGCGATAGTTAAAAAACTAGTTCCTTTTGCCCTTGGTAGCGATACCGGCGATTCGGTTCGCCAACCCGCCGCTTATTGTGGGGTAATCGGTTTTAAACCTTCCCAAGGTCTAATTTCTCGTTTTGGTTTAATTCCCATGGCTTCTTCTTTGGATACAGTGGGAATTTTAACTGATTCAATAACTACGACAAAAGAGGTTTTTTTAATTATTTCTCAACCGGACCCCCAGGACCTTTTAACTATCGCTTCCCAGAAAAATAAAATTAAATTAGTTCCTTTCTCCTCTACCAAAAAAATAGCCATTTTAAAAGGAATAGAAAAATATTTGTCCGCTGAATTTGCTAAATTATATCACAAAGTAATCAACCTTTTAAAAGCAAAAAAATATCAATTTGAAACTATTCAAATTCCTCCTGAAATAAGCGAAAACCTTCAATTAGCCTATTTAATTATTTGTTCCAGTGAACTAGTTAGCCATTTAAATGCTTGCCAAGGAATAGCTTTTGGCAAAAAGGAAGACGATGCAGGAGACATTAAGCAAAAAGTTCAGCAAGTTAGAAATAATTACTTAGGAAAATCAGTGCATCAACGTTTAATGTTAGGAAGTTATTTTCTCCAAAACAAAAAAGATTATGTTTATACCCACTTCTTTCGTCAAAAAGTTCAAAAATGGGTCGAAAAAAATTTTTCAAAATATGATTTTTTGCTTTTTCCCAGTCCGAATAGCGAAGCACCAAAAATCGAACATAGTAGTTTCTTTTTTGTGGGAAGTGAAACCCATTGAAGTGATAATTTATTGCTATTAGCCAATTTTGCCGGGATTCCTTCTTTAAGTTTACCAATCGGTTTTGTTAATGAACTTCCGGTAAGTATTAATATTAACGGTTCTTTTGGAAAAGATAAAGAAGTTTTGGCATTAGCCCAATTACTCGAAAAAGAAATCACTAATTCCTAAAATATTTTTTATATGTCAACAATGTTAACAGTTTTTTTAATTCTGTCTAGTGTAGTCATTCTTACTATCATTATTAGTTCGCTTATTTCTTATTATCTTTCTCGTTGGTTAGCAAAATGACTGAAAAACGTGCAATGTATCGATAACCGCCGAGACCTCAATAAATCTCCGAAGTTAAAAGAAATAGTGCGAATTGTGCGAGAAGTATCTCGTCTTTACAAAATAAAAATGCCGGAGGTAGGGGTCTATCCTGCGAGTGAAATCAATGCGTTTGCTACCGGACCGGCCAATGGAACTTTAATCGCCTTTTCTAGTAATTTGGTTAACATTATGAGTATGGGGGAAATTAGGGGAGTAGTGGGACACGAACTTTCTCACCTTATTCATTATGATATTCGAAACATTTTAATAGTTCAAGGAATATTTGATTTTATATATTGGATATTTACTTTCTTTTTGGCTTGGTGACTTTTTCAACCAGACAAAAGAAAAGAAAATGAAGAAGCAAGTGCCGGACAAATTATCAGAAAATTTTTTCTTGTAATCTTATTTCACATAATTACCGCTATTTTTCGTTTAATCGGAATTATGGTTATTCTTTGGTATAATCGAAAGCGAGAATATGCGGCTGATTTAAAAGGAGCCGAAATAATAGGAGTAAATGATATGTTGTCAACCCTCCGAAAACTCTTGGCTTTGGAAAATAAAAGTTGGGTGGTAGATGGGATAGATTTAACCGAAGATGAGAACGTTCAAGGAGGAGAACCCAATTCTATTTCTTTGTTAAAATTTAATCCGGAAAAGAAAAAACGGGGTCTGTTGGACTTGTTTAGAACTCACCCTACTTTGGAAGATAGAATTGAAAGGTTAGAAAAGTTGAAAAGTAAAAAGAATAACGTTGGAGTAGTCTAATAATCTACAAAAAAATACTATTGCTTTTTTTTGTAGAGAAAGAAGTAAAGATTACTTAAATGTTGGCGAATGCCATCTTTTAGTTCGATTTTAGGAAATTTATTTTGTAATTCAGTAATTATCTTGTGACATTTTTCTAGGGCTATTTCGCCTTTTTCCTGGCTTCTTTCTTTACCTTTTCTAACTAAATTAACTTTTACCGTAGAGCCTTTTTCAATTCAACCATGAACTTTGTTTAGTTTAACTTCCAAGTCATTTTTTTCAATGTTGAAGGAAATATTAATCGCTTTTTCCTTCTGGTCTTTTTTTTTTCGTTTTTGTTGCTTGCTTATCTGATAATAGTTAACTAATTTACAAACCGGCGGAGTAGCCAAGGGAGCCACGCAAAGAAGGTCTAACCCGGCTTCTTTGGCTTGCTTTAATGCCTGCTGACGATTAACAACAACTTTTTCTCCCTCTTTATTAATTAACAAGATAGGAGAAAAAAGAATATTTTCGTTAAGAAACTGTGGATTTATTTCTTTTTCTTTTTTTGCTTTTGTTTTTTTTTTAACTACCATTCCTTATTTTTTATTCTTTTTTTTCTTACTTACTAGCATTAGTGCCAAGGTAATTAAACTAATTATTATTCCGCCTATAATTCAATACTTATAGTAGTGATTGTTAGAAGTTGTAGTTGGTTGGTGCGAGTGGAAAGCGGAAGGAATATTAATTCCTTTTTCACTGGCTAAGCGACTAATTTTTTCTCATTCGTTCGGAAAAAAATCATTTTGACTATAAATTTCCCCGTTCGCTTTTTTTAAAATTTGATTATTATTTTCTTTGCTTTCCGCAAGTTTTTTTAAAATATTATCAAATATGACTTTTCTTACTTCGGAATAAGTTTCAGGGGTTAAATGCACATCATAGTATTCATTAAAGCAACCCGCTTTATCATCTCCGCCCATTCACATATTACAAGTGGCTGATTTACAATGACCGGTCTTGAAATTATAAATCCACTCTCCCTTAATTTCTCAATCCTGAATAGAGGCTAAAATTTTTGCTTTATCTTTTTGGGGTTTTTCGGCCAGTCGTTTAGTTTCTAGTGCTTGTCCTTTGGCAACTCGTTCTTTTCATTTATCCAGCGAAATACCGGCATTTTTAAAAGCCTGATTAACTTTATATATGCTGGATTCAGGGTTTTTCATATCCTCGTGTAAAAAAAGCCCGTATTTAAACTTTTCGTTCGGAAAAAAACTTGAATTGGCTTCTCTAACTCCCATAATTCAACTCACTGCTTCTTTTCAATCGCCATGATGTTCTAAAATCGGGTCATTCAAAACGGCTAATTCGGCGGGAGTTAAAGGTGGCTGTTGCCGATTTCAAGCATTCTCCTCTGCAGTTGGAAAGCAACAAAGGTTCTGAGGCGGATTATTTTCGGCAATGAATTTTCGCCGTTTTATTTTATTTTCCTCTTTGATTTTTCGGGCTAGTTCCTCGGGAATTTGGGGTGGGATAAATCCTTCTTGTTCGGTGATAACGCCCCCAAAATCACCGCCATTATATCTACGAATATCGGCTTTTAGTTTCTCAGAAAGCAAGTGATATTTCCGAAAACCACCTCCCATCTCCTCGATTTTGTAATCTATCCCTTCTTGATATTTTTTACGGTTCTCCGAACTTAAAGGAAAACCGATATTAATTGGATTTTTTTTGTTGTCCCAGTTCATAATTAATTTATTATATTTATTTTTCTCTTTCAATATTATTATATAATTTTTACTCGGTCAACCTTTCTAATTTTCTCTCTTAATAAGTATATATTAATTTTAATATGTTTTTCTTTTCTTTCTCCCCGCGAATTACTAAATAGCAAAAAAGAAATTTAAGCCTTGGAGGGGAGAGGATGGTTAAAATTTTTCTTTTTATTCTTTTTTTTAGCACTAAATCGCAACAATAAAAAACCTATTAGAGCGAATACACTAAAACAAAGACCGCAGACAATAATTTTATAGACCAAGCGATAATTTTGGTTAATACCTAATTTAGTAAGGGTTTTTTTGGCACTGAAAAAAGAAAGCGGTCAACGCGAAAAAGGTTTTTTTAAAAAATCTGAGGGACTTAATTTAACTCTTAACAAACAATAAGTATAGTAAAGGGCGGGCTGAATTAAACATGAGAGGAAAGTCAATTTCGGTCTTTTTCTGACTAAGTTTTTTTGCTCATAACCAAAATAATAAATAATAAAACAAATTGGGATAACTAAATGCCAAAAAGGAGAATAAAGCACTCAACCAATTACTTTGCCTATTTTGGAACAGTTGGGAAGCGGAATTATTTTCGTGGTTTGGCTAGTAATCCCCCACTGAGTAGTTAAACCGGTAATGGCTCAGACCACCAAACTAAGGGCAAACATTCCAGCCGCAATCAGATTACCAATGATTACTACCAAAGAAAAAACCTGAGTCAAATAATTATTTTTTTTCGGTTGTTTTAACCTCCAAAGAGCAAAAATGATAGTAACAAAACTAATTCACACGCATCACTGGCTTAGAAAATGAAGAAAAAGCGGTATCGGACGGTGTATCCCCCAACTAAACCACGAAGAAATTAAGCAATAAGTTAAGGAAAAAAGAAAAAAATAAAGTCATTTCTTTTTCTTTTTGTCAAAATTTTTATTCACGTTGTTTAATCTATATGAGGACATATTTTATTAAGAATAATTTTGGATTTTGTTAACCAGTTCTCTTTCGGTCAATTCCTCCATTCGTCCTTCTTGGTAAGCATCCACTAATTTCAGTATTTTAGTTTTTAATTCTTCTTTGCCAATTACTAGATAATGAGGAATTTTTTTTCGGTACATTTGGCGAATACGGTCTTTCAATTTCTTTTTGGAAAATATTTTTACTCGCACGCCAATTTCGGCTAATTCTCCGGCTAATTTTTGGCAATAATTTTTAATTTCTTCTTCTTCGTTGAAAGGCAAAATAGCCAATTGACAGGGAACTAATCAAAAAGGTAGTTTGCCGTTTGTCTGTTCCAACAACAAAGCAATAAAACGCTGATAAGACCCAAAAGGAGATTGGTGGATAATGACTGCAGTTTGTAATTTTTGTTCTTTATCAATATAGTTTAAACCAAATTTTTGGGGTAAAATGAAATCTAACTGAATAGTGGCAATAGTAATATCTTTACCATCAGCCGCTTTTATTTCTAGGTCTAACTTTGGACCATAAAAAGCCGCCTCTCCTTTCAAGACTGTATAATTTAGTTCTAGTTCATTTAAAGAATTAATTAAAAGATTTTCCGAAAATTCTCAAATTTTTTGGTCGGAATGGTATTTCTCTAAATTATTTGGGTCATGTAGAGCACAAACTAGCCGAGAAATCCGAAAGTCAAATTTTGCCAAAAAATCAGTAATATAATGGTAATTTTTTTTAATTTCTTCTTTTAGTTGCTCCTGAGAGACGAAAATATGGTGGTCGGCTAATTCAAAGCAACGGGGCCTTTCTAAACCTTTTAGCCCTCCGGAAGCCTCATAGCGGTGTAAAATTGAATTTTCACACAAACGAAAAGGTAAATCCCGGTAAGAACGGGGTTTTTGCTGATAGATTAAACAGTGGTGCGGACAAGTCATTGGACGTAAATAGAGGGTTTCATTATTCCGACTAACTGCCGGGAACATAGAGCCTTGATAATGGTTCAAGTGTCCGCTGGTTTGATATAAATATTCGCTCCCTAAAATAGGGGTCATTACCTCTTGAAAACCAAATTCTTTTTGTTTCTTTCGTAAAAAATTGGCTATTTGGTTCCGAATAATAACTCAATTAGGTAATAAAATTGGTAGACCTTGCCCGGCTTTTTCGTCTAAAATATATAAATCTAATTCCTTGGCAATAATTCGGTGGTCTTGGTTAGTTTTTTCTTTCATTTTTTAAATTAATATATAGATTAGAAGTTAAAAATTAGGAAATAGTAATTAGGCTAAATTGCTTGCTAATGAAGGTTTTGGATTAGTAATTAGCAATTTAATAACCTAATATTACAATTTAGAATTAAATGGCAGTAATTCAAATAACTAAAACCCTTTAAATTACTGAATTTTAGAAGTAAATCGGACTGACATAAATTATCAACAATGTAATATAACTTAATTTTATATAAGCGTTAAGTGCGAAAAGGAGATTTTCCCTCTAATAATTAAAGTTTTAAATATAAAAGCGGTTAATACTTTGAATTTAAAATAAACTATTTGGTAAATATTTCTGGCGGAGTTGCTCGGTAAATTAATTTAATATCTATAAAAAAACTTATTAATATAATAAAATAAAAAACTATGCGAAAACTAGATGCACTTAAAATTAACTCCGAAGGATGTAATAATCTGCCTTCAATTTATATCCTTTTAGCAGTAATTTCTGTTATCATTCTTTTAGTAATTAGTTTGCTAGTTCTGGGATTTTTTTGGCCTAACTAAAATTTTAAGAAAAACATTTTAGGAAATTAACTAACTTTTGTAAAGTCGCTTTTTTCCATTTTAATTAAATTCTCTCCGGTAAACTGATAAACATAATCGACGTAGTTAAAAATGCTATAATGGTGGTCAATTACTAAAACAGTTTTACCTTTTATCTTAGCAAAAATATTGGCAAGAATAGTTTCTTTTAAAACAGGGTGAACGTTGCTTAAAATCTCATCTAAAATGTAAATATCATAATCTCGAATAAACATTTTCATAGCCATAATTTGTTGTTTCTGTCCTTCGGACAAGTCTGTTCCCCCTTCCCTTAATATGGTATCAAAACCATTTGGAAGTTTGTTAACAAAATCATAAATACCAGTTTTTTTAGCAGCAGCAACTAATTTTTCTAAATCATTTTTGTTATATTCATTTGGATAATAAACATTTTCGGCAATACTCATTCGAAAAAAAGTCGGGCGGTTAGTTTGGTAGCAAACATGTTGGTGAAGACTGTCGGTTTCGATTTCTTGAATATTATTTTTACCAATTAAAATTTTTCCTTTTTTTATTTCGTAGAGTTTCAAACTAGTTTTGGTAATAGTACTTTTACCAATTCCATTTTTTCCAGCAATACCATAGATTTTTCCTTGAACGAAATGGAAGGAAAAATTACGTAAAATATCTTGGTGGGGTCGTTTCGGATAAGCAAATACAACATTTTGAAAAATTAAGTCGCCGTTTTGGAAAGGAATATTTTTAGAAGGAAGTGTTGGCAAGGCGACCGGTGCGGTCTCTTGGTTGAGGATTTTAGCACTCTCGTTGACAATAGTTAAATTACTGGAAAGGTCATCGATAGTCATTAAACTATCAACTATTTTATTCATTTCGCTATTTAGTTTTTGTGCTGTAACATAGTAGCGAATAAAATTAGCCAAGAAAAAAACCTCGTCTCTTTGCCCTTCTTTGTTAGTGAAACCAGCCACGAGAGCCACGAAAGTTATCGGTATATTAGGTATTATAACATAATTAGGAACTGCCTTAAACAAGACGCTGTATCACAAAGATTTTTTGTTCTTTCGAAAAGTCGAATCTAGTTGTTTGTCAATTTTTTTTTCTTCGTATTTTTCTCCGGAAACGACTTTAATATATTCTAAATTATTAATTCTTTCGTAAATTACTTTATTGTCCTCCTCATAACGTTTTTTAGCAGCAATATTTAGTTTAGCCGCTTTGGCAAAGAGAAAAATCTCTACTAACACTAAAAACACAAATAAAAAAAACAAAGTTCCGGCAAATTTCCAGTTAATCCCTTCTTTACCAAAATTGAAATCATATCTAATATAAAAAAAAAGGGAGACTGAGACAAAAATTAAACGATTAGGAATGAACCAAATGCTCCGGGCAATGCTATCTAAATCGCCCGCAAATTGAGTTATTAGGTTGCGAGAAACTTCGGAAGAATTTGGATATTTAGCCCGAATAAATTGACGAAATAAGTCTTTTTTTAAGTCTCTTTCGATACTATCATAGGAATAACTCATTCAATAGTAATGGATTAACGAAAAAAGCGATTTAAATACAAAAATAAGCAACAGAATACGGGGAATAAAACCAAATCCTTTAATTAGGTGTAAATCGGTTCTTTCAACAATTTTCCAACCGAAAAGGTTAAATTCAAACTTAAAATCTTTTTTGTGGAAAATGGTTTTGTTCTTGGAGTCTTTGCCTGCTTCTTTGATTAAATCAATAGCCTCTTTTTTGGCTAAACTATTCTTTCCTTTTAATCCCTCCTCGATGCTGTCTTTAACTTTGGTTTGCTGCTCGCTAACGCTATTGTATTTCTTGTTTAATATGCTCTTTATTTCCTCGGGGTCTATTTTTTCATCCTTGCCCTTACTTTCCAGCACCCCAATAACTTTTTTGGTAAGGGTTCTTTCCTCGGTGATAAAAGCATCTTTAAAATTAACCCCAATATTAAAGTTGATAACTGCCACCATTACCGCTAACAAGGAACAAAGGAAAAACAACTTGGGGTTATTTTTGATAATTCGACCCAAGACCAAAAAAAGGATTTTGAACTTGCTCCTTTTTTTAGTTTTAAGAACCGATTTAGTGAATATGGTTGTCGAAGACATTAACTAGACTTATATATAATAAATATTTTGGGGGTTTGGACGACCTTAAAACCATTACCGGATTTAATTGAGAAAACTAATATAAAACTTTATTTAAATAGTTATTAATATGGAAAACTTGAATAAAAAAATAATTGAAATCAAGCAAACTACAAAAATATACCACAGCAAAAGAGTTTTGAACAAGGTTACTTTTTCAGTCCGGCAAGGAACTATCCATGGTTTTATTGGTCCCAACGGAGCCGGTAAGTCAACTACTCTTAATATATCAACCCGACTAGTTTTGCCTAATGGAGGCGAGCAATATATTGATTTTAAATCAGTCAGAAATAATCCCAATTTTAATCAACGGTTAGGCTATGTTACGGCTGAGCCAAAATTTCCTAATTTAACTGTTGAAACCCACGTTCTCGATTGTGGTTATTTGAGAGGTATTTCAGAAGAGAAAGTTTTGCAAAAACTGACTAATTCACCACTCAACCAATTTCGTTATCAAAATTGTCTCTCTCTCTCAACTGGGTGGAAAAAAATTCTCCAATTTTTCATTTTAAGTCTTTACCAACCAAAAATATACTTAATGGATGAACCCTTTAATGGTTTAGATCCTAGTTTTCGCCATGAACTTTTTAATGAATTAGAGCGAATTGCTAAAAAGGGTGGCACTATTTTGATATCAACTCATATTCTTTCTGACTTACAAAAATTTGCTGATAACGAGGAACTAGAATTCGATATGACTATGATTAAAAATGGAGAAATTGTTTATACTGGAACAAAAACTGCTGATATCGAAAAAACTTATGAAAAATACTTTATCGAAAAGAAAAGAGGATTATTTGAACTCTAAAAATTAGTTATGTCGCAGTCTGGTAAATTATATAAATATTATCTAAAAAAAAGTATCTGACGAAGTTGAAGAATATGAGGAGCGATTGCTTTATGTTGAGTCTGATGAATAGCCTATTCGTGGTTGGGTTCTACTCAAATAAGAGAAGGTTTAAAAAAAACTTTGAATGTTGCTGGATGAGAGGAATGAATAGACCAAGAATTTAGTTGAAAAGGAGTGATGGATAAAACTTATCAAGGAGGTTGATTTTTTGATGAAGAATCAATTCAATGATGAAAGGAACAAGCGGCAAAAACGGAGAAAACCGAAGACCGAAATAAATACCTTGACTTTGCCCAAGGCATCAGAGAAGGTCAAATTATAAAGGCGGGGTCTCAAACTGTTCAAAATTTATCCAAGGAAGCTAAGTGAAAATTGAAGTATGTAAATTCCAGTTATCCCTTTTATGAGGGATTAACCGAATTTTCGGCTCGGCAAGCCCAATTATCCCAAGGGGGAATAGGCAAAAAAATAGATTTAATTCATAATTTATCCTTATGGAATATAAGCGGAATTATCTTGGGAAGTTTTTTGGCTTATTTCCTATTAGATAGTCTGTTTGTGGAACCAAAAAAAAATGGAGAAGATGCCTTAGTTTTAAGTCTGAGTCCGGGAGTAGAAAGAAACCATTTATTTTTTGGCAAAACCTTGGCTTTAATTACCAGTTTAGCAATTTTTGCTTTCTTGGGCTTTGTCTTTCCTTATACTATATTCTTGTATGTTTTCGGACCGGGTATTACCGCCTGAGGAACTTACTTGCTTTTCGTTTTGTGAGCCACTTTCTTCGCCTCCATCTTATTTCTCCTTTTCCCGGCCGCTCTCTATCTTGCCGCTAGTCTCTGAGGGACCGCCGGAAAAATTATTCAATTCCTTTTACACTACTTTTCGGTAGGATGATTATTTCTGAACCAGTTCGGAACATCAATGTTGTATTCAACTGAAAAAGGAGAAGGTAAGGGAACCAGCGGAGTCTTTAACATCATTGCTAAAATAGAATATTATTATTATAAACCCTTAATTCACATTGCTTTCGTGCTAGTTTTGGGTGGTTTGCTACTCATTTTCTATTACTCTTATTATCAACAAGAAGATTTAGGCTAAAATTTTATATGTCATGTTAGGACTTCGAAAAATTAACTGAAAAGTTTTCAATAAACTTTACCACTATTACTGGCAAAAATTACTGCGAAGATGGTTATTTTTTGCTCTTTTTTTAGGGCTTGGTGCATTTTTGACAGTAGCCTGAATATCTTCGGTGGGCAAAATAATGGAACAAAAAAAGTCTTGGTCGGAGGTTTTAACTGGATTTTATTTGCTTTCCGGTTTCCAACTATTCATTATGAAAATGATAATTCCTTATTTAATTTTCGAATTGGTTGGTCTGAGGGTGAATTTCGGGTTCTTTCAAAAACCAACCAAGGATAGCACGGAGGATTCAAAGGTGATTATTTTTACTCCGAAAGTTAATCGAGAAACAATAATATTAGCCAAATTCGCCCTCATTTTTACTATTTTTTTGATAGTAAGTTTGTTAATTACCTTACCCCTTTTTATCTATCTCTTTACTTTTCCTAATCTTACTCCATCTTTCAACTTTGTTTTCCTGTTACTTAACGGGTTTGTTTGAACTATTCAGAATTTTTTATTATTAGTTCCTAACGATTTTTATTTTGCGGAAAATTATTCATTTATAGGAAATCTTTTAAGTGCTTTCTTTTTGTTTATTCTAGGTGGTTTTTTTTGATTATTTTACTTTCTTTCCATCAAAATTTCTGTTTTTATGCTATTGCTTTCTTTTCCCTTTTCTTTGCTAGTAGGTTGGATTTTTTGGTCGCTCTATTGCCGAAAGTTTTTGCGAAAAGATATTACCTAAAATATAATCAATATTACTAAAATTAATTTATATATGAAAATTAACACATTTTTAAAAGGCTGTTTGGGATTGGTTCTAATTTATTTGGTTTGCTTACCCATCATGTCAGTAAAAATAGACATTCCACCTAAAAACAAAAAAGTAAGCATTTGTCCGACCATTAGAGGCAGAATAATTTCACCGGACGACAAAAAATATTGGGATGGCTATTTTAGAATGGAGGATTTAAAACTTTTAGCAACTAAAAAAGGTTCTTTATCGCCTTCCAAAGTTAGTTTTTAGTTTTCAAACAAAATTGCTTTTGGATATTAACAAAGTGAAAGAAAAGAATCACCACCGCACAAATGCGAGTATGGTTTAATGGCTAGAATGTTAGACTGCCAGTCTGATGATACGGGTTCGATTCCCGTTACTCGCTCCATTAACCGGCGGATATGGCGAAGTGGTTAACGCACCAGTTTGTGGAACTGGCATTCGTGAGTTCAATTCTCACTATTCGCCCCATTGTTATTTTATGAGAGATTTTAGGGGTTATTTTGTTTATTTAAATTTTTGTTTTCTCCCCTTAAAAAATTAAAAGAAAATTTGTTCATATGAGTCCAGCGGGCAGTTTTAATAATCTTTGACTTTACCCGCTGGTTAAACTTAAAAAAAGCCAAAATTATAAAATTTTTAGATTTAGGAAATTAAAAAGTATTATTTTACTAATAATTACTGTGTCTAAAAATGTTTTTCATTCTAAAAAACGAAATTAATCCTACCTTTGTAATTATCCTTTTTTCAAAAAGATAGATTTTTTTAAGGTTTAATAAAAAATTATGACTTTTCTTGCTTTCGGTAATGACAATTCGCGTTTTTTTTGCTAAAATTAAATAAAGGAGATGCTTTGAAAGATACAAAAGAAGCAAACTATTTTAATTAATATGCTTTTAATATAATATATGCAAGAAAATTCATTAGTAAATATTTCTGAAAAAATTAGGTTCGGGAGATTTTACACTACCCAAAACATATTTAGTTATCCTCATTTTCGAGAGTGATTTACTACCGCCTTAAAAGCCAGCAACAATATTGTCCTCGAACCTTTTGCCGGTTCGAACAACCTAATTAAAATGCTTCAAAATGAAGGTTGTGATTTCAATTTTGTATCCTACGACATAAACCCTAACTCGCCGGAAGTAGAAAAAAAAGACACCATAAAAGATTTCCCCTGAGGTTATAAACTAATTATCACCAACCCTCCTTATCTTGCCAAGAATTCCGCTCACCGCAAAAAAATCGAATTTCCGACTACTAAATACGATGACTTATATAAACTCTGTTTAGAAATAATGTTAAAAAACTGCGACTATGTCGGAGCAATTATTCCTGCCTCTTTTATTAATGCTGATTTATTCCTTGAAAGATTACATTCTTATACTCTGTTAAGTAGTCAAATGTTTACCGACACCGAAAACCCAGTTTGTTTGGTTTTATTCTCACCCCAAAAAACTAACTCGATTTATCTCTACGAAAATGATAAGCATTTCGGAGAACTATATTCACTAAAAAAGCAGGTAGAACAAATTTTAACTAATAATAAATCTCAACCAACCTCTATAAATTTTAACCACAAAAAAGGTAATTTAGGACTACGAGCCATTGACGGAACTCGTTTTCCCAGCATTGCCTTTATTGAAGCCAGCCAAGTGCCGGAAAACAAAATAAAAGTTAGTTCACGTCATTTAACTCGGATACATATCCCCCAACAAGTTAATTTAAGTTTGCTAAATAAAAAACTAAAAGAATTGCGGGAAATAACTAACGACTTTTTTTTAACTCCTTTTCGCGGTTTAAGAAAAGATGGCAAATTCCGTCGTCGTTTAGACTTTCAACTAGCCAAAAAAATTATTAAATCTTGTTTGTAAAATGATAGACTGAAAAAAAGAAATAAAGGAACAAATTAGAAAAAATTTGTTGGAGTGCGAAAAGAAACTGGATAGCAAAGAATATCGCACTAAAATTGAAAAATGATGCCAAAAATATGGGTTTGAGTTTAATACGGTGCTGGAAAAAGCCAAAAGCGATTACTTTTTTCGAGCCTTTTTCGCCAAAGACCCTAAAAAACAAAACATTTATGAAATTTTGCTAGCCCAGTATATTAGTTCACTGAAATTTGTTTCGGATTTTCAGAAGTTAAACAATGGCGGGAAAAATGCCCTTTATATCGACCGTGGGGTTATTCGGAAAGGAAATGAATATCCGCACGATAAACCGGCTAAATCGGTGGATTTTTTTTGAAATATCAAAAACAAACAAGAAAAAGTTTTTAACTTCTATGCTTTCCATAAGTATATTGAGGAAAACGGAGGAGCCCAAGATAATCAATTTAACGAAATTAAGAAATGTATCGAAGTTAGTAGGAATGGTAGTCAGGAACCAAATAGACGGGTTATTTTCGTTTGCGATGGTGGTTACTTCACCGAAAAGAAAATAAAGGAACCGAAAAACCTAATTAGCAACTGAAATTACGCGGTTTTAAGAAGTACCGAATTATCCGACTATCTCTTAAAAATTTACAGAAAATAAAATTATGACTTTCCTTGCTTTCGGTAATCATACAGTTCGCAACTTGCTGCGTTCCCCCTATTTTACTTTTAAAAAAGTTCTTTTGCGAGAGGAACAGCAAAAAGACCAAGAATTACTGCGGCTTTTAACCACAAAACAAATACCCTATCAATTACTTAGCAAAGAAAATTTTTCCCGATACAGTTTTGACAAAAAAAATCAAGGAATAGTTGCTTTTATTCATAGTTATAATTATGTATCGCTATCTTCCTTGTTGTCACAACCACCGCAACGAAAAATTCCCCTAATTGTTATGCTCGATTCAATTGAAGACCCCCATAATTTTGGAGCAATTTTGCGAACTTGTGCTGCTTTAAAAGTTGACGGAATAATTATTGCCAAAAAAAATCAAGTGCCGGTCAACAGCACCGTAGTTAAAGTTTCAGTGGGGGGGGTGGCTTATGTGCCGGTTTGTCAAGTCAGTAATTTGGGAGAGGTGGTGAATGAATTAAGAAAAAAAGATTACCAAATTATTTCTGCTGTTTGCGAACCGGATTCCCAAGCCTATGGTAAATTCAATTTTGATTTTCCGACTTGTCTAATTTTTGGCAACGAACACGAAGGAATTAGAAAAAATTTAATTAAAAAAAGTGATTTCTCCCTCTATATACCAATGGGTAATAATATGGCTTCCTTAAATGTTTCGGTAAGTTGTGGCATTATCCTAGCCCATGCCATTTTACACTCTGGCAGAAAAGAAGAAAACTAAACAATATTACAAAAATTTTTCATGATAATTCACCTTAATTATCCGCTTTTTTAATAAAAGCAAATTACATAGTAATTCAAATAAAGAGTAAAAAGCGGAAAATATAATATGCAGAATTAATTACAATTTAAGTTTTTACCAAAAATTTTTTTGAATTAAGCAATTAGGGAATTTTAATTTTTAAAAAAATATTTAGCCAATATCTCCGGAATCTCTAATTTGTTTTCTTTTTGGTTGTAATAATACTCACATAAAGCAATAATTAAGCGGTCAATAGCCAGTGCCGAACCATTAAGGGTATGCGGATAATATTTTTTTTCCTCTTTGTCTTTTGCTCGTATTTGAGCCCGACGACTTTGGAAATCCTCGCAATTGCTACATGAGGAAATTTCCAACCACTTTTTACTGGTTGGCAACCAAACTTCGATATCATATTGCTTGGCGGCACTAAATCCTAATTCAGCAGGACAAATTTCAATTACTCGGTGAGAGATTTTTAATAAGTGGAGAATATTCCGAGCATCAGCGACCAATTTGTCTAGTTCGGAATAAGAAGTTTCCGGACTAACTATTTTTACCAATTCGACTTTGTGAAATTGGTGGAGGCGAATTAAACCCTTATTTTCTTGACCGGCGGCCATTCTTTCGGCTCGGAAACAAGGACTATAAGCACATAATTTCAAAGGTAATTCTGCTTCGGCTAGCATTTGTTTTTGATAAAGGTTAACTAAACTTACTTCGGCGGTGGGAATAAGATAAAAATTGCTTTCTTCTACTTTATAAAGACTGTCTTGGAATTTATGAAATTGTCCGGTATTATGGAGATTATTAATATTTACTAAATAAGGGGTGTCGAATAGACGATAACCACCTTTGCTATTTTCTGAACGCATGAAATTAATAAGAGCATGTAATAATTCGCTTCCTAGCCCTTGGTAAACAGCAAACTTGCTACCGGAAAGGAGAATGCTTTTTTCTTCATCAATTAACGCTAATTTTTTTATTATTTCTGCTTGGGTTAAGTTATGTCGAATATTATGTTGGTATTCAGTATTATCAATGACTTGATTACTGTTTTGATTAGAAGTATCACCAGCGGGTAGATTAGGGAGTTGACTGGTTAAATTATTTAGTTGTTGGTTTATCCTTTCTAATTCTTTTTCCGAAGTAACAATTTTTTTTTTAACTTGTTTTACCTTTTCGGCATTTTCGGGTCCCTCCAATTGATTTCTTTCACGGCGGAGTTGGTTAATTGTTCCGGTTAGTTCCTTTTGTTTAATTAATTCGTTTCTGATAAGGAGTAATCTATCGCGGTCTATTCCGCGGCATCCGAGACGCTTAACCAAATCTTCAAAATTAGTGAAAAATCTTTGACTGTCTAGCATCTATTTTCTTTTAGAACCTTTCGTAATTAGAACTAAACCAATTAAAACGATAAGAACAACGAACGAACCAACCAAAATAGGAATTAACAAGTCGTTTTCCGGGGATTTATTTTCCTCGTCTTGGTATCTATCCTTGCCAATATGCCTAGCCGCTTCTTTTTTTAAGCATTTATAGTATTCCAAAATTTCTTGCTTGCTGTTTAAATTTGCAAAATGTTCTTGCCATTTTATCCCTTTTACCTTTTTCCCATTTTTTAATGAAATTTCAAAATTTATTTGGTTTTCTTTTATTCCTATTTTAGCAAGAAAATTTTTAAATTTTTCCACCGCTTTATTTTTTGCCTCTCCTACTGAACTGGTTCTAATAATCTCTTTTTCATCTTGGTTAATCAAAGGAATTTGTTTAGGTTTGTTATTTTCTTGTCCTTCGTTGGCTTGGATAATAGCGGTTAAAATTTCATTTCGGTAATTTTCTATTTTTTCCTTGGTGTCAAGCCCTTCGATAATTTGCTGAAAATTTTTATATTTACCATTTGCTAAACTTTTCATATCAAATTGTTTACTTTCGATTTGGAAAATGGCCGCAGTTCTAATATTATCCAAGGATAAACCGCCTCCTTGATTTTGGTTTGCTTGTTGGTATTCAGTTTGGTTTTTTTGGTAAATTTTTTTTAGGCGATTGGCGAATTTTTCTTTATTTTCTTTATTTTCTTTATTTTCGGCTAATTGTCTTTGATTAGCAGTTGAATTTAAAGGCTGATTTTCATCGAGAGGTATCAAAGGATTTTCAAAATCATCAAGGGTTAGAGTCGAACCATCGGAATTGGTTAAAGGGAGAAGGGTTAAGTTTTTTTCGCTTTTGGCTTTTTGAACCAGTTGATTATTTTCCTCAATAAGGATTAACAAATCGGCGGCTAAAATGGATAAACTATCATTTTCCGCCTGGATTTCTTCATTTTTTTGTTGGGTTGGGAGGTGAATATGGAGAGGATTATTCGGAGTTAGATTTTCGATAGTTCGGAAATGATTTCGAACTAGGATATTATAGGAATAATTATCTATTTCGGCTTTATTAGGTCCAAAAAGGACATCGCGAATAACTATTTTATTTCCTACTACGAGATTAGGGTCATTGGACAAAATATAAACTCCTCAAAAATTAACTTGTTTTATGCCAATGGGATGTTCCATAGTTAAATGATGAGAGTTACCGCCATAACCTCTAACTATACTAGCAATTTTAAAAGTTAGGTCTTGCTTCCAACCACCATTACCATTATTATTAGTATTATTAACATCTTCTGATCCTATTTTTTCTCATTGATAATTTCTATATTTTTGGTGAAAAGCACAAATGCCGCCTCTTATTTCATTTCCTGACACTCCTGGCGGACCATCATAACCATGACCGAAACCAAAATCATTATAGCAGTCCTCAACTTTGCAAGTAGTGGCATCAGGCAAGAGTTTTTTTAGTTCTTCATATTGCTCCCTTTTTAGGGCAGCGGGGTGAATAGAATTTCCTGACCTGTGCTTTATTTTTCGGCACTTCGCAGCAAATACTTTTGTCCCTCTTCTGTTTCCATCCGGCTGATAAATACCACTTAATTCGGAACCAGCTCGGCAAACTGATGGCAAAATAAAAGGCGATCACCAAACCCTTTTCTTTCTTCCTTTTAACTCATCATCAGTAATTTTGTCGTAAACGAATTCATCTAATGAAAAGTCATTAGGATGTGTCCTGATATATCTTTTGATAACTTGAAAAATGTCCTCAAAACTTTCAATATTATTTGAACCGCCAGAAATTTCTTCTATATTTACAGGCTCAACAAATGTTCGATATTGGTTAATAGAAACACTAAAATCATCATTTATTCATCCGATAATTTTTCCTTGATTGGTTTTTCTACAATTTTGACAAAAATCCTTCCCTTGCTCGATTTCTTTGTTCTGATGGCATTGCTGACATATTTTTAGCATAATTCTTAAACGCTTCCGCCCCCAAATCTTTTTCTAAACTCTTCCATTTGTTTTCTAATTCGTGGGTCCTTAATCAATTTCTCTAACCCTTGCGGATTTTTCATTGCCTTTTCCATTTTTTTCGCTTGTTTTTTCATTCATAGGAAAAAACACAATAAACAAACCAAGACCCCTCCTATAAAGGAAAGTATTAAAAAAAAGACAAATAATCAAATTTTAATATTCATATAATTATTTTATAATTTTAGTTTTTATTCTTGCTCTAATTAATTTTTTAAAAATAAAAATAACAAAGGATAATTGTTTTCGAAGTTAAGTTTGGTTAAAACCCAACTGCTCCTCTGCCTAACTCTCAAAATAATTTGAAGTTAATTTTAGGAAATTAGAACTTAATAACAGCGGAAACCCGTTCTCTTTTTTCTAACCCGAACTTCTTGGTTGGGTCAATTATATTTTAGGTCATTTTCTTTTGCTAGTTATTTTAAAAATTTGATAAAAATAATATTAATATGGAATCATCCCTCAGAAAAGAAAGTGAAAAATTACAAAATACTACTATTCCTGTGCTCCAAACAGTTACTCGCAATTGATATTTTTTAGACCTGAAAGATAAAATAATTGGGAAAGAGGCTCCCAAAATCGTTGAATTATTGCGAGGCAAAAATCGGAGAGATTTTATTCCTCATTGCGATTTAGGAAATTATATAGTGCTAATTAATGCCAAGCATGTTGCTTTTTCTGGTAATAATAAGTTAGACAATAAAAAATATCGAAACCATTCAGGATACCCCGGCGGACTGCGAGAAAGAACTCTCCGAGAAATGCTAGAAAAATATCCTCGTGAATTAGTTTTTCGAATTGTAAAGGGCATGATACCTAAAACCAAACTTGGCAATAAGCAACTTACTCGACTATTTATTTATCCAACTGACGACCACAACAAGCAAGCCCAAGCAAAGAATTTTATTAAATTATAATTATACTTATGGAGAAGATAGAAGTAATTAATCACAAGGGTGAAGTAGTAAATAATTTTTCTCTTAATGCTGAAATTTGAAATACTCCGCTTTCGGCTTGAAATGTTTCTTTGGTTAATCGTTATTATTTGGCTAATCAACGTCAAGGAACTAAAAAAACTAAGAGCAAAGGTGAAGTAAGTGGAGGTGGTAAAAAACCTTGAAAACAAAAAGGAACCGGTCGAGCCCGTTCTGGTTCCATTCGTAACCCTCAATTTCGAGGCGGGGGAGTGGCTTTTGGACCAACCGGAGAAGAAAATTATTCTCTTAGCATTAATAAAAAAATGAAAAAAAAAGTTCTGCAATCAATTTTGAGCGAGAAAATGCGGGATAAAAAAATAATCGTGGTGGAAAAAATAAATCTAGATAACTACAAGACCAAAGCAGCAACTCGATTTTTAGACATTTTACCTACTAAAAAAAACAAACTTCTGCTTGTTTTGGCTAATAATGAAGAAAACAAAAAAGAAATAATCTACTCTTTTCGTAATCTTCCTTATGTAAGTATCACCGATAGCAAATTAATGAATACTTCTCAAATGCTATCTCCTAATTATCTTTTGTTTACTCACACTGCTTTTGCCGAAACTGAAAAAAGGTTAAGTTAAATTAGAAATTTACATTGAATCAATAAATACTCCAATCGGCTAACAATTATTAAAAAAACCAAAAGACAAGTTAATTACATTATTAGAATTTTTTGACAGTATTCCGAAATCAAAACTCCTTAAATAATAAGGGTTTAGACCAAAATTAAATTATCTAATTATTAGCAAAGTTATAATTTTGTTTTTTTTAACTTTTTGACAAGCACTAAATTAAACGCAAAAAAAACATTAAGGACTATATTAATTGTAAAAATTATACTATATCAAAAATGTTTTACTACTTTTGAAAAAAAAACACTTTAAAGAAGTTTAATTCTCTGCGGAACAAAATCCTTGCTCTGAAAAAAAAAACTAAATCTCTGACTGAACAGCAATTACAAAAAAAATTTAGTTTCTATCGCCAAAAAGTTCAAAGCAAAAACAAAAAAGAGCGAGCCGGGGTGCTGGATAAATACCTAATTCCGGTTTTTGCCATAGTGCGAGAAGTTATTCAACGCCGAACCGGCCTTTTGCTTTTCCCTACTCAAATTTTTGGTGCAATTGTTCTCCACCATGCTAATATCGCCCAAATGAATACAGGGGAAGGAAAAACCCTCACCGCTTTTTTGCCGATTTGCCTTAATTCCTTAGCCGGGAGAAGCGTTTTTGTAATCACGGTTAATGAGTATTTAGCCCAAAGAGATTGAAAATTAGCCAAACCAATACTTGACTTTTTCCAAATTAGTTCCGGAGTTAACTTAAATAATATTTCTACGGAAGAAAAACAACAATTATATAATAATTGTTCGGTTATCTACACTACTGGTAGCGAACTAGGTTTTGATTATCTGCGAAATAATTTAGTAACCAGCATCCAAGACAAAAGAAAACAAGATTATTATTATGCTATTATTGATGAAGTAGACTCACTTTTGCTGGATGAAGGCATGAACCCCCTAATTATTTCCCAAAGAGCCCAAGGAAGTTCAGTTATTAATCCAGCCGAATATCAATTAGCAACCAAAATTGTTAATGTTTTAAAAGAAAAAGAAGATTACAAAGTAGACCAAAAAGAAAGAGAGGTTTGGTTCACCAAAAAAGGAATAAAGAAATGCGAAGAATTTTATCAAGTAGACAATCTTTTCGCTTTCAAAAACCACCGTTACAACTTTTTACTTCATAATGCTCTAAAAGTCAAGCACCTTTATCACCGGGATATCGATTATATTACCGACCGAGAGGGAAACCGAATAGTTTTAATTGATGCTTTAACGGGTCGATTGGTACCTAATCGGGTTTATAGTTCGGGAATTCACCAAGCAATCGAAAGCAAAGAAAATTTGGCAGTTAGCACTAAAAGCAAAACCATCGCGACCATTACTTATCAGAATTTTTTCCGCCTCTTCGATAAATTATCGGGAATGACCGGAACAGCCAAAAGCGAAGCCGAGGAATTTCGCCAAGTTTACGGAATGGAAGTTATTACTGTTCCTCCCTATCGCAAACTAATCCGAAAAGACCGCGATGACCTAATTTTTTGGGACAAGGAAAGCAAATACAGAGCAATTATCAAACTAATTAAAAAAAACAACCAAACTACCAAAAGGCCGATTTTAATTGGTTCTCCTAGTGTAGAAACTTCGGAATATTTGTCTTCCTTATTAGTGGAGGAGAAAATAGTTCATTATAAATTAAATGCGGTTAACCATCAACAAGAAGCCGAAATAGTGGCCCAAGCCGGACAAGTGGGGTCGATTACTATTTCAACTAACATGGCAGGACGAGGAACCGATATTGTTTTGAGTGGAGAAAGCAAAAAAGCGGGGGGGCTTCTGGTAATTGGGGTGGAAAGAAACACCAGCCGACGAATCGATAACCAATTACGGGGTCGTTCGGGACGACAAGGCGATCCTGGCGAAAGCCAGTTTTACGTTTCTTTGGAGGATGAATTAATAAAAAACTTTGAAATTAAAGAAAGGATAAGCAGTTTTTTTAGCCGTAAACAATTAAAAGACCTTTTTAACCGACCTTTGAGTGGTAAACTGCTTAATTATCTTATCTCTGAACCCCAAGAAACTTTGCGTAGTTTTCAGTCTACCAATCGGCAATACGTTCTTAATTATGACCTCTTAATTACTCGGCAAAGACGCTCCGTTTATAACTACCGCAACAAATTATTGAGCGCACAGAACCTAACCCAAGTAGTAAAAAAGAAAAGCAAAACCAAAACTGAAATAGTTCCGATAGAGCAAGAGTATTTAAAGGCTCGATTAGTGAAAGAAATTGACCATTTTTGATCGGAATATTTGGAATCTTTAAGCAAAATCCGAGAATTAGTTAAAGTTAAGGTTTATTTACCCCAAGACCCCCAGGAGGCTTTTTTTTGAGAAACCATTGATTTATTTCAAAAAGGATTTCGGCAACTAAATAAGAGATTAATTGAAATTGCTTATCAGTAAGCAATATTTATTGCAGCACTAATAATTATTTATAGTTTAATTTTTGCTCCAAACCCCCCAAAATAAGGAATTACTACAAAAAAACTCTAATAATATTTAATTATTCAGCCCTTTCAGAATTATTTTTTTTAATGAAAATTAATTTAATTATCTCCCAAAGAAAAAATAACAAATATCTCCCTCTTGCGTTAAATACTCTGCTCCTCTTTTTTTTGAATATTTTGCCCCTTCTTGGCTAGGAAATTTTTCTCAATCAGTATAATTATACACTTCTACACTGATAAAATTTTTTTGAATATCGGAGTGAATTAGTCCCGCACACGCACGAGCCTCCATTTTTTGTTCGGCCAACCAACTTTTCACTTCATCCTTTCCGACTGTAAAAAAGGTTTTTAAGTTTAAAACTTTTTTAATTTTTTCGGTCAAAAGAGATAAATCAATGTCTTTTCAACCAATTTCTTCCTTTTCGGCAGTGGTTAATTCTTCTACTTCTCCTTCCAGTTTGATTGCGAGGGGAAATAAATCTAATTCCTTTTGGTGGGCATAAGTTTCTAGTTTTTGGATTTCACTTTCCTCTCCGCTATAATTCGCCAGCAAAAAAAAGGGTTTTTTAGTGAGAAAATTATGGGGTTTTATTATTTCTTTTTCTTCTTCGGTTAGACTTAATTGGTTAATTGCTTTCCCGTTTTCCAATTCTTTCTGAATTAGTTGTAAAATTTCTTGCTCTTTTTTAGTTTTTTCGTCTTTTAATTTTATTTTCCCTAACCTTTTTTTTATTTGTTGTAAATCGGCTAAAATTAGTTCTAATTGAATTATTTCAAAATCCCGAAGGGGGTCAACTGATTTTTCAACGTGAACGATTTCTTTTTTTGGAAAACAGCGGAGAACATGGCAAATTAAATCTACTTCTCGAATGTGAGATAAAAATTCGTTGCCTAAGCCGAGGCCTTGCGAAGCACCTTTCACTAGACCGGCAATATCAATAATTTCAATTACACTAGGAGTAGTTTTTTGCGTTTTTCAATATTGGCTTAATTTTTCTAGGCGGGGGTCAACTAATTTCATTATTCCGAAATTGGGTTCGATAGTAGCGAAAGGATAATTAGCGATATCTTTAATATTTTTTTTAGTAAGGAAGTGAAAAAGGGAGGATTTGCCAACATTCGGCAAACCAACTAGACCAATTTTGATAGACATGAATTATAATATTAATTTTTGGCAATGTTTTTGTTTAAAAACCACTTTTAGTTTAAGGTGAAATGATAAGAAAATTTAGTTTAATTGATTGGTAGTATTTATGAAAATCTTTCGGCAAAATAGGGAAAAAGGGGTAAAAATAATGCTCTAAAACCCCCACTGTTTTTTTTTTTTTTTTGTAAAATAGACTTAGAAGTCGCTTAAAAAGATTTCGTAAAATAATAATAAATATAAAATTAAAAAAGATTATGTCAAAAAATTATTACACAATATTAGGAGTTAGTCAAAATGCAACTCCGACAGAAATAAAAAAGGCTTATCGCAGATTATCCAAACAATATCACCCCGATAAAAATCTTGGTAATGAGAAATGAGCCAAGGAAAAATTTGTAGAAATTGGTGAAGCATATGAGGCTTTAACAAGAACTTCAACAGCCTCTTCTACCGCACCAAGAAGCGGATATTTTTCTAAAAAGTCTGGTTTTGACCCCTTTGAGGAAGTTGAAAAAAAGTTTAGAGAACGTGAAAGAGAAATGAGGGATAGAGATGAAAAAGAGGAAAAAGAAAGAGAAGAAAGAGAACGGCAAACAGCAGAAGAGAAGGAAGTAAAAATCCGAGAGGTAGAACAATTTTTTACCGAGTATGGGGTTTCTATTTCTGAATTAAACAGTAATTTATGATTTCCTTATAATGATTGAAAAGAAAAAATTAGAAAATCGAGTGATATGTGATACATTTTCCCAGGTGATTTAAAGATTGAAATTAACCGAGTCGCTGCTAAAAAAAATTATTATTATTCGCCCCGAGAAAATTCTAATGAACCTCAACATCATTATCATTTCCCTCCCAATGGAAAAGGAGAATATGATGATTTCAGGGATAAACACGATAAAGGACAAGGATATTCTCCCCATGGTTATGATAAGGATAACCAAAGAGAAAGATTTGAACGAGGACCCTCTTTTGTCAATGATTTAGATGAGAAAATTAATTGTTTGAGGAAAGAAATTGAATTTCAAAAAGAATTATTGGCTAAAAATAATTTTTCAGAAGATGAAAAACGAAAGCAACAAAAAATTATTTACAATTTGGAACAAAGTTTTGCAGAATTAAAAAATATACAACAAGGTAAGTCTAAATCCGAACCTAGAAAATGAACTCCGGAAGACAAACAGGAAAAAGATGAAAAAATTAAACAATTAGAAACCGAAATCGAACGATTGAAAAAAGATAAAGGTCAAACCCAAGATACCCCAGAGCAAAAACAAAAACGACGAGAACTAGCCCAACGAGAGGATGAATTAAATCAGTTAGCAAAAGACAAACAAGAACAATTAATTAACCAAGTCAACCAGTTGAAAACTGATAAAACCAAAGCAAAGGAATTAAATGATAGCATTAGTGAATTAAAAAACCTAATTCAAAAATTAGATAAAGAAGTTCAAGAATTAAGTGCTGAAATTTCCCAACTAAGAAATAAAAATGATAATTCTCCGGAAAATCAGGCTTATTTAGTCTTTGCAGAAAATATTTTGAAAGATAAAACTTCCCAGTTAGCCCAGTTAAAAGGTGTTATCAATTCTAATTCTCAAAATACAGGCAAAAATGATAATGATTTTCCTATTAGTTTGGTGATTATTGGTGGTGGAGTTTTATTGGCAGTAATAGGAATTATAGCATTGGTTGCTATCAAAAAGCGAAAAATGAAAAAATTTTCCCGCTAGATTAAAAAAATAAGGGGGGTGTTTCGCTCCCTTTAATATAATTGAAATTAGGTTTTTGAATTATAACATTTTTTATAATTCTTTCCGCTTTTTCAATAATAATAATTACCAAGCAATTTAACCAGTAACAGAAAAGTACTCTACCGATAATTAATGATAGTCCTTCATTTTTTTAAGGCTTTTGAAACTTAAAAAAATATCACTAATTTTGCATAATAATATAATATTAGTTTCTTTTTTTAATAAAGTTAATGATAATTGAAATAACTTCTTTAAAAGGATAATCAGGGAATTTCTTTTTAATTTGCCCCAGTAGGTAATTTTGAACCCGTTGCCGGTCGGTAAGAACTTTTTTTTCTAATTCGGCATTTCATAAAATTTTTAATTCTTGTTCCATTAAAGTTTCATTAATTTTTGTTTTATTTTCATATTTTTTTACCAAAGCGGAAAAAGTTTTTTTAGTTGTTAAAAGAGTACGAACAATTTCGCTTATTTCTTCGTTGCCTAATTTTTTTTCTTTTCAACTTTCAAAAAGGCTATAATAGGATTTTCATTTTTTAATAAATAAATCGATATTTCTTTCTTCGAAATAAGGAGACAAATAATTTAAATAGAAAGTAGTTCAGTTTTTACTTTCGGTTCTGGCTAAACCTTTTTTCTCCGAAAAATTAAAGGTTTTCAACAAGAGGGGATTTTGGAGAAGTTTGTTGGCAGTTCCAAGGTCTATTATTTTTGTTTCCTCTCAACTCTGTCAAGGTAATTTCGGCAAATCCTTTTTTATTTTTTGGATTTCTGAATCTTTTATTTTGATAGGAGGGATATTAAATTCTGGCAAGTAAAAATAATCAGTTTTTTCCCGATGAGCGATAGTAGTTTGTTTGGCTTCGTCAAAGCCTAGGGTCTGACTGACAGGAGGATTTTGTCCTTGGGAAAATAATGCTTGGTGCTTGCTAATTTCACATTTTAAGGCTTTTTCAATATTAGCCAATGAATTAAGATTTTTAATTTCATAGCGAGGAGTAGAATATTTATCTCCTAACCGAAGAGAAAAATTTAAATCTACTCGCAATTGCCCTTGTTCCATTTTGGCTTCCGAAATATTTAAATAACGTAAAAGGCTTTGAAGTTGCTTGATAAATATTAGCACCGTTTCTACTTGGGAAAAAACTGGTTCGGTAACTAATTCAATTAAAGGATTACCGGCTCGGTTAAAATCTAATTTAACTCCTTCTTTGACATAAATACTTTTAGCAGTGTCCTCCTCTAATTGGAGAATTTTTATCGGTATTTTTTCAAGACTGTTTTCTTTGACAATAGGCAGATAGCCGGAATTGGCGAAGGGAAGTTCTTGTTGGGTAATTTGGTAGCCTTTCGGCAAATCAAAATAATTATAAATTTTGCGGTCAAAAATAAAATTTTTACTGATTTCCATTTCCAAGGCTGCGGCTAATTTTAACCCTAACCGAATGACTTGGGGATTAATGATTGGCAAAACTCCTAAATAACCTAATTCCCATGCTCCTACTTGGCTATTGGGAGGAATATCGCCGCGATAGGTATTTTCCCAATTAAAAATTTTTTTTTGACTGTTAACGGTAATATGAACCTCCAAACCTAGCAAAATTTTTAATATTTTTTCTGAATTATTCATTTTTTATAATTATTATATTTTTCAAAATCAATGTCTTTTTTTCATTTTTTTTAGGAAGAGAATTATTTAATAATCACAACCGAAAGCAACTATCTATTTCGCTATTCATATATAATTTTTTATTAATTTTTTTGGTTTTATTCAATTAATTTTGTTTTCTAAACTTTTTCTTTCTTTTTATCCAGTTTTCGCCTGCTTCAAAAAGTTTAAATTTTTTAATTATTCTTTGTTATTGAATTTGCCGTAATTATTTGTTTTGTAAAACACTTCCTAAATCTTTTTTGCTAATTTTTCTTAGTTCTGCGGCTGGTATTTTGCTAATTATTAAATTGGCAATACTCCAAAGTTTTTGACAAACCCTTCAACTCCCAATTATTTTATCTTCATTATAAATCAAATCCGAGCCTCAAATATTATTTTCGAGCAAAAAAAGTCGTAAACTATCGCAACCATATTTTTCAATTAGCACCTCCGGCTCTACTCCATTACCCAGAGATTTTGACATTTTTTTCCCATACTTATCTCTAATTAGACCATGTAATAATATCCTTTGAAAAGGAAGTTTGTCGGTGAAATAGGTTCCTAACAATATCATTTTCAGCACTCAAAAAAAAAGAATATCGTAGCCGGTAATTAAATTAGTTATGGGATAGCAATTAGTCGGAGGAGAAGGAAAATTTTGGTTTTCCTTTGCTAAAACAACCAAGGGTCATAAACCGCTCGAAAACCAAGTATCTAGGACATCCTTTTCTGGTTCTCAATTTTTAATTGGGATGGGTGGGTTTTCTCCTACATAGATTTCACCAGTTTTTTGGTTATGTCAAGCCGGAATTTGGTGTCCTCACCATAATTGACGAGAAATACACCATTCTTGAACTTTATCTCTTCAATTTTCTAATACTTTTTGGAATTTATTCGGCACAAATTCAATTTGAGTTAAAAAATCGGGTTGTTTTTGTTCTGCCTTTTCAACCAAAGCAGGTAAATCAAGGAATCATTGTCGCGAAAGAAGCGGTTCAACTAATGCTCCTGATTTTGCGGAAGAGGCTAAATTAGTTTCGTAATCTTTAATTTCTCCGCAAATATCTCTTTTTTCTAGTTCTCGCACCAATTCTTCCCGAATGCTTCCAATTTCTTTTCCTTGCCATTGACCGGCTAATCCATTTAAAATACCTTTTTCGTCACAACAACTAATTAGGGGAAGTTGGTATTTTTTTCCTAATTCATAGTCAGTAAAATCGTGTCCGGGGGTGCATTTCAAAATTCCGCTACCGAACTCTATTTTAATTCTTTTATCAGTCAAAATCGGAATAATTTTTCCGTTTCAAGGGTGTTTTATTTGTCAGTTGTGGTATTTTTGATAACGTTGGTCGTCAGGGTTAACGAATAAAGCAACATCGGCGAAAATAGTTTCTGGACGGCTGGTGGCTACGGTTAAATAGCGGTGATAATGCTTTTTTCAATATGCCACTATTCTTTTTTCTGGAAAGCAACTACAATAAAAACCAAGGCAATTCCACCCGCCTGGGGCAAAAAAACTATTACAACGGGGACAAGGACGATTTTTTTCACGAATGTCTTTTTCTAATTTTTCTTCTTCCTTTCTAATTTTTCTGCATAACTCCCAATGTTTTTGACAACGTCTACTCTTGCCGCGTTTTTCGCCTGATGGAGAAATGTAATCAAAAATTTTTTCATCATTATTTCCACAACAATTTTTTTCATGCTCCATTAAGATTTCTCAGGGGTTTAAAAGCGGATATTTCAGATAATATAATTTACTTTTATCGGCTTTATGTTCCACTTCAATGTCCGAAATTACGCTTTTTAATTTAGGGTCTCAATTCACTAATCTTACCCCCTGATAAATTAATCCGTCCTGATAAAGTTTAACAAAGGCTTCTCTAACCTGTTTTTGAACCGCCGGGTCTAAGGTAAAACTGGCTTTTTGATAGTCAATTAACAAACCCAACTTTTCTCACTGTTGGCAAAAAATTTCTCTATTTTGGGGATACCAAGTCTGAAAAGTATACTTTCTTTTTTTCTCGTCAGTATCAAGTTCGGCCAGATTTAGATTTTCAATTTTGCTTTGGGTAGAAATTCCAGCGTGGTCCATTCCAGCAATTCAGTAAATCGGTTTTTGGTTAAGATAAGCAAAACGAACCAGAAAATCCTGGGAAATTGAGTCTAAGGCATGCCCTAAATGGAGTTTGCCGGTAATGTTGGGAGGGGGCAATAGTAAAGTGCTGGTGAAATTATTGGGAATTTGGGCTACTACTTTTTTTCAATAATTAGTTTTTTGGTTTTTTTCGGTTAAATGAAAATCGTATTTTTTTAGCAACATTATTTATTAAGTTTTAATGGTTTTGTCAACTTATTAAGGAAAATTATTATTACTCCACTAATTAATGATACCCTTATTATTTAAGGAGTTTTGATTTTGAAAAAAAATTATAATAATGTATTAAATACAACCAAATATAACCCCAAAATTAGAAAATAATTACCAAAAAACCCCAAAATTTTAAACTTAGAAAATTTTTGATTCAGATTTAGAGCAATTTATAAAAGGGAGTAAGTAACATTGAAAATTACTAAACGAAATAGAAGTAAGTCGGAATATTTTAAAAAGTGGCTAAATTAAAGTTTAAAAAAGAGCAAAACCAAACCCCTAAAAAGCAATTTAAAGGTTTGGGAAAGTTAGAAATTAAGAACTTTATTTAAAATTAAATTAAAATTTAATCTTCCTCTTCTTCTTGGCTTTGGCTATTTCCGAAGTAAAAATAGTAAATTATAGCGGCGATAATTAATCCGCTTACCACAATTATTCCTACTATTCCAGCGGTGGTTTGGTATCACGGCAAACCCGAATTATCATTATTTTCCGATTTATCTTTTTCAATTCGTCATGCTTGAACTTTTTCTTTCATTTTATTACTTAATTTTTGGAGGGCTTGTTTCTCAACTAGGGAAAAGTTTTCGATAACATTTATTTTGGCACCTCCTTCGCCATACTCGCTAATTTTTTTCAATTTTTCTTCCAAATCTTCTAACTGGGTTTTTCAATCGCTATATTCCGATACTATAACAGTCATTAATTTGGCCAATTCCTTTTCGTCTGAACTAGCATTATTTTCGTTTTCGCGAATTTCTGCCGCTTTTTCTAAAAGAGGGAAGTAAATTTGGTCGTAATCTTCTTTTTTATCGCTATATTCCGGTTTAGCCATAAATTCCGTTTTGGCAGCCAAGAATTCGGCTTTGGTTTTAGCGTTTTTAATTTCTTTATGACTTTCTTTTCGTTTCTCAGCCCAATCATTTAATTTTTTCAACATTTCCTCCCCAAAGCCTTCTGTTTGCCCTTCTCTTTTATAGTGGTTAATCGCTTTTCAAGCATTTTGGTTAGCAGTATCATTTTTGAGATTGTTAAGGGCATCCAGTAATTTACCATCGTTGTCTTCGTCGGCACTTTCAATCTCTTGTAATTTTTCGAAAATTTGACTGGCTTTGTCTAAATCGGTTTCCGAATCTTTAATTGAGGCGGATACTACTTCGTAGGCTTCTTTATTACCAATTTTCAGACCCGTTAATAAACCTTTTAATTTTTGGCGGGCTTTTTCGAGTTTATCCTCTTGGGGTGTTTCTAATTTTTCCAAGGCGGTATCTACGCAATCCTTTTGGTCGTTATCTTGATTTTTAACTTTTCTTGCGATTTCTAAGGCTATTTTTTTATCGGTTTGGGTTTGACTGTCGGCGATAAACTTTTTTAATTCAGTTTCAGTGTTAGCGGTTTTAGTTCCGAAAGCCTCCTCTAACCATTTTATTAATTTTTTTAGTTCCTCCAAAACTGGTTTGGTAAATCCGTCTTGGTTCGGCAGCGGACATTTTTCATAAATCTTTTGGGCTAGTTTACTGCCTCTATTTTTCAATCCAGCTAATTCAGTTTTAAAAATGCGATGGTGGAATAATCCCTCTATTTCAGTTAAAAAGTCTTCAATTACTTTTTTTCAAACCCCCTCCGCAGTATAAAATCGGGTTTTTTTTCACTCCTCTAAATCATTTTTAATTTTATTTAGTTCGGTTTCGTTTTGAGTGGAAAAATAATTAGGGACTATTCATTTCTCATAATCCGCTATTCATCTTTTTGCTAACTCATAATTATTGTCAATAGTTTGCTTAATGTGGGGGTCATCATAATCGGGAGCATCTTTGGCTCCGTCCCCGGTGTTATCTCCCGGAATCCTTCAATCGCAATCTACGGTGGAATTGGTTAAGGCTCAGTAGTAGTGTTCCAAATGTTTCGAGTGGTCCCAACCATTTACTTCATCAAATTTTAACTTAATATTCGGATTTTTTTGATAGTTTTGTCTTGGGTTGCCTTCCCGAATAGCATTATCACTTTGGGGCAAATTGTAATCTTTTCCAAAAAAAGCTAAATCCATGGCTTCCTCCGCATTTTGAGCCGAAATTATATCATAATATATCTTAGTTCCACCTTCAAAAAATCAACTACCATTTACATAAAAATGTTTTTTTTTGGCAATACTAAACCCAAAATCTCCCGGCTGAAAACCCATGCAATCCTGTGGTTCGCTATTGACGTAAACTTCTATATTAGCCCCTCCTCCATTTTGAATTGTGTGTTTCTTAGTAAATATATCGGAATATTGACCAGTATAACCCGGAGTAGGAGTGCGAAAATCGTCAATATTTTTTTTAGTTAACCGCACCGGTTTATTGCGGTCTATCGGATTTACTTCAAACTTGTTAGTAAAAGGGTTTAAAATAGTCTCTAAATTGGGGTCTAAATTAGGAAAACCTTTGTATAAACCCGGTTGGATTAAAAGTTCTGCATTATCAGTTAATTTATAACCCTCATGTAAAAAAATCGCGTATTTTGATTTTTTGTCTATCTTAATACCTCTTAAAAATTTATTAGTAATAAAAAAAGCAATTCAATTCTCTATTACTCCTTCAAAAATTTTTTTACTGTCAAAAGTTAAATCATATAAAGTGTGCTTAATATTTGTCATATCTTTCGGAACATTAACATTATTAACATTACCAAATTGATAGGCTTGTAATTTTGCGAGGTTGGGGGTCGGGTCCTTAATTTCCGCTTCCGGTCCTTCTTTTAAATCTCTGGTTGGATATTCAGTTGCTAAATTACTTAGTAAATTTTCTAAATCTAAAAGGGCTTGTTTTTCTTGGCTATAATCCGTTTTTAGGGTTGGGGCGGTAGCACCATCGGTATACTCTACATCGTTAATATTAATTTTGCTTGGTTCCAATACTCCACCTTGAAAATCGGCGGGGGTCAGTATAAGGGTTTGGTCTTGGATTTTTCAGTGGTCATTCTGCTTATTAAGTTCTTTGTTAAGGATTAATTCAAAAAAGACATTTTTTTTATTATTTCCTGGAGTTAAATTAAATTTTAGTATCAGTAGTTTATAGATAATTTTTATAGTGTCAATTGGACCCTCAATTGAGATTTTTTTTATCTTTTCTTTTTTAACATTTTCTGCTACATTATCACTAGTCGCAAAAAAATCGGCAGCATATTTTCTGTTTGTTTCATTATCTCAGGCTTCTAGTGGTGGATTAAAATTAATAGTAATTTTGGCAAGGTTTGGATTAATAGTATTCTCCTCAGCCTTAATACTCTGTAATTTTTTTTTAAATTTAATCAATAAATTAGTTTTTGACATAGTTATTATTTATTTTATCACTTATCGAATTACTTTTCGCTCCCAAAAACCAATAAACTGGGCGGACTAAATCGTTTTTTTTTTTTTTTGATTACCATATTCATATTTTTTATTATATTTTTAATTCAGTTTTATGTTTTTATGATTATTTAATTTTAGCCAAGACGGAGGAAATAAGTTAATTTTTTTCAACTTTTCTCTTTTTTAGTTTAATTTTTATTTTAGAGTTTTTTAACTGGGATTTTTAAAATACTAGCATTTAATTTACTAATACATTATAATTTTATTATTTATACTTAGACACTTTTAAAAAATTTTCTGCCAAAATTAAAAATCTGTTTTTTTCAGATTACTTACACTAGTTTTAATTAATAAGACTTTTTGGTAGTGTTGATTTTCGACAGCAGGATAATGAGGGGAAAAAACCATAATCTGAGGGATATTTTTCGCTACCTTTTCACAAATATGAGGGTTATCATCAATTACCATATCAAAATCAGCCGCCTTTTCTTTTATTCAGTCCGCTTTGTTGGCTCCTTTTTTTTCACTGTCAAAACCAATTAATTCCAAGGAACAGTTAGCCAACTTACCGAAACTATCTTTAAATATTTGCTTTTTTCGGGGGTCCTCATTCGGAAATTTCCTTTTATCATAAGCGGACAAAAAAATAAGTTTTTCCACTTTGTTTTCTTTTAGCAATTTTAATAATTCTTTGGCAATGGTTAAAAAAGGGGTTTGTTGGTAAAAATTAGGAGAATTTTTAATGCTTTGTTGATAATCGGATATTAAAATATCCTCTTTCATTTTTGAACCATAGGGAGAATATTCTATTGCTAAAACTTTTTCTCAAAAATCCTTAAAAAACTCAGCAAAAATAATGCCGTTTTCCTCTTTGTTCTTTGCTTTTTTAGCCATTCACAAAGCAAATGGTTCGTGCGGTTGAATTACTTCGTCTCAATCACAGATAATTTTTAATTTTTTGGGGCTGTTTTTGAAGTGGGAATAAAGGCAATTTATTATTTTTGGTGGTTGGCTCATATTAAATTTTTTTTGCTTCGGTTTGGGTAATTTTGGTTTTTTTGTTTCATGCTCCCGTTTTCCATCTAGTTTTTTTTCCCTTAATCCGAATTGCTACCAAGCAAAAAAAAACAAAGACTAAAAAACATTTTCTTTAAAAATCTTAATGGTTGGGTCGGTTAATTCACAGCATTTTTGGCGAAATTTTTTGGTTTTTATCTATATTTACATTTTAATTAATTTTCGGTTCCGCCACCTTTTTTACTAAATAGTTCATTATACTTACTTCTGTCAAACAAAAACATATATAATAACCAAAATAAGGCTACCAATATAATTAACTTTACCATGGTTTTAAAAATTTTGGAAATAATGTAGGAAAGTAAATAAATTATTAAAATGGTTAGCAAAAAGGCAATTAAATGATGGGCTTTTAATTTAGCGGTATCACTAAAAATAAAATTTCACCCCTCCTTCACTCATTCCTTTAATCCGTTTAAATAATATCCAATGTTTTCCATTCTTCTATAAAATTATATTAATAAAATTATTTTAGCAATTTGACACAAAACAGTAACATTTATCAATTCATTAAAAGTTTAGCAGAAAGGGAAAGAGTATCGGAAGAACGTATTAAAGAAATAATTGTCGAAGCCTTTCGAAGGTCCTATTGTAAAGAAGAAAATTCCCGAGCCGAATTAAGTTTTGAATTTAATGCCGGTTTGTCAGTTTATCGTCTCTATCAAATAGTTGAAGAAGTTAAGGACCCCGAAATTGAAATCGCCCAAAACGATAAATTATTAAAAAAAGGAAAAATAAAAGATAATAAATTGTTTCTATCCTTAGATATAAAAAACTTTTCGCTTTCGCTTAGCAACGAAATTAGAAATCAATTATTAGGAGACTTAGGAGTAATCGGTCAGGGAAGACAATACAAAATATTTAAGCCATTAGAAGGTCAGTTGGTAGGGGGAATTATCCACGGAACTCGGGAAAATTACTATTTAGTGAAATTAGAAAAAGGAATTGGTTATTGAGAAAAAAAAGAATGAGCCTTGCCGGATTTTGCTCCCCAACTAGGACAAAAATTCGTCTTTTTGGTTAAAGAAGTAAAAGAAAAAGTGGAAAAAAATATGCCTCAAATTATTTTGACCCGCCAGGATAATTTGTTTATTCAAAAAGTATTGGAGCAGGAAATCCCCCAAATAAAGAGAAATATTGTAGCGGTTCGTCATATTTTACGTTTTCCGGGGCTGGTAAGTAAAGTAGTAGTTGAAAGAGGTCAGGTGGCAGTTGAAAAGGGATTAGATATTGACCCTTCCGGAACTTGCATTGGTGAGAGAGGCGAACGAGCAAAATCGGTTTCTCGTTTAACTTATCCGGAACGAATAGAAATGGTGGGTTGGTCGGAAGATAAAAAAAAATTACTGGATAATTTCCTTTCCCCAGCCAAAATAGTTGAATTGGTTGAGAAGGGCGACAACTGAGACATTACCATTCTCCAAGAAAAAAAATCTCTGGTTTTAGAAAATCGCGGTAATATATTGAAAGAAATTGGAAAATATTTGGGAAAAACTATTCATGTTCGCGATTTAGAAGAAGTAAAAAAAGAAAAAAATACTATAATGGTTTGGAACGGAAAATTAGATGATAAAGAAATAGAAACCCTCTGTAAAAAAATAAACAATTAAAGCGTATTAGGAGAAAAAGAACTCTAACAAATATGAAAAAATATGAAAGTAGCGATTTGCTTCGGCAAATAATTCACCGAAAAATTACCAGTGCTAAAAACGAATCAAAAGGGAAATGTCTTTATCTTTGGTCTGAAAATATAAATGCCAGTGAATTAGGAAAAGTTCTGAATATACCGGTTGACAAAATTGTTAAGTTTTTTTGAGAGAAAGGAAAAGCAGTTAGTTTAAACCAGTTATTACCTTTTGAGTGGTTAGCCGAATTTTGTCAAAGCATTAGAATAGGTTTGAAAAGAAAAGATAAAATTGATTTCCGAGAAGTTATTCACGAATATTTAAAAAAAGTAGTGGATAGTTCTCAGTTAGCAGAACGACCTCCGATTGTTAGTATCATGGGTCATATCGACCACGGAAAAACGACTTTGCTTGATACCATTTGCCAGACCGCTTTACAAAAAAGGGAAGCTGGCGGGATAACCCAAAAAGTTACTATTTCTCAAAGCGAATTCCAAGGAAAAAAAATTACTTTTTTGGATACTCCGGGACACAGTGATTTTATTAAAATGCGGGAGCGGGGAGTATCTTTGACCGACCTGGTGGTGCTTGTAATTGACGGCAAAGACGGAGTAATGCCTCAAACTAAGGAAATTATTAAATATCTTTGTCAATATGAATTACCGGTAATTGTTTTTATTAATCATAAGAAACCACATGAAACTGATAATGAACCCAATTTAAACCGAATCAAGGGTCAATGCGAACAAGCCGGCTTAATTCCGGTTGAATGAGTTTCCGGTAATGCCCGAGAAAAATCTAGTGCCCGCCGCTTATTAGAAATTATTCTGCTTTTTGCGGCAGAGTTTAAAACTAATTGACAAGACCCTACTCACGGGATAGTGATTGATGCTTATTTTCATCCTCAAACTGGTTCACGAGTAACGGAGTTGCTAATTCAAGGTGGCGAATTACAAGAAAAAGATACTATTTTTCTTAATTGAAAATTAGAAAAAATAAAAATATTACTTGACACTCAGGGCAAAAAAATTACCGCCGCTTCACCGGGCGATATAATTAAAGTGATTGGTCTAACTTCCAATGCTGAGTTAGGAGAAAGGTTTTTGGTGGTAAGGGATGAAAAAACCCAAGAAACCATCCAAAAAGAATTAGTTGGTTATTCCGAAAAAGGTAGCAAACCCCTTCCCGCTTCTTTTCTCCAAGAGAAAAAAAATATTAATTTAGTTTTAATTTCAGACAGCCAAAACAAATTAAATGCTCTCCATGAACTAGTCAAGAAAAAAAATGCGGATGAGACCGCCGAGGTTTTTTTTTCGGTCGTTCATGCTACTATTGGAACCTTAAATAATTATGCTCTTGACCTAGTCAAAATTACGCAAAGCACAGTTTTAATGTTCGGTCTAACACCTAATCAATCGCAAATGAAAACTTTTAAAGAAAATAATATTCCTTTTTTTGCCAGCAAAGTTATTTATGAAATTGAAACTAAATTAGAAAAACTTATTGGTAATCAACAAGTAGTAGAAGAAATAGAAGAAGTGGTCGGTCAGGCTCGGATAGTAAAAGTTTTTGAGTTTTCCAAAGGAAATATTGCCGGTTGCCAAGTAGTTAATGGCAAAATTAATCGTAATAATCGAGTTCATGTTTACCGAGGAAAAGAACCCCAGCCAGTTTTTAGCGGAGAAATTAAAGGTTTAGAAAGCCAGTCAGAAAAAAAATCGGAAGTTATAGGCGGTCAAGAATGCGGAGTTGTCTTAAAAGGATTTGATGATTTTCAGGTCGGGGATAAGATAGTAGCCTTTCGCCTAATTAAAAAAAATGTTAGTTAGAACTAAAAATAATTTTCACCAACAGAGAAAAGAAAGTTTATATAAGCAAGAAGTAGCCCAAATTTTATACCAATTGAGTTTAAAAAATAACCTACCATTCTTTTCAGTTAGTTATTGTCTTTTGAGTGCCCGAGGAGAAAATTTGAAAGTTTATTTAATCTCCCCCCATTTGGAAGTTAATAAGGAAAAAACATTAAAATTATTAAATAAGGAGTATTTAACTTTAATAAAAAAAGAAATTGCCAAAAGTAAAAAATTTAGTTCTATTCCCACCCTTGTTTTTCTTTATGATAAAAATTGGGAAGAGACTAACAAAATTAAAAAAATCATTGAAAGTTTAGCATGCAAAACCAAAAAATAGAACTTCTTTTGCCTTTTGTAAACTTCCTTATCATCTTTTTCATATCTTTTTTTTTAAATTATCTTTCTGCTTTGTACTCCGGAATAAACCTATTCAGGGTAGATTTAAACCAAAAAAAAAAGGGAAAAAATTGAAAAATGGCAATGGCTGTTTTGAGGAACGGCAATCTCCTTTTTACCGTAGTCTGTTTCTTTCAAGTCTTTTTTAACATAGCAATGTCGGAGATATTTATCGGAGATATGATTGAAAAACGTTTTCCGGATTATTGAGTAAGGCAAAATAGATGGATATTTATTTTTTTATTAAGTATCTCCATCGCCCTTTTTACCGAAATATTTGTGCGTTATCTAGTCAGTAGAGCCAATAGCAAAAAAAGAGTTTTTAATAAGTTCTTTGTTTTGATTGCTTATTCTTTGGTTACTATTTTTTATCCTTTGCGAGTAATAGTTAAACCTAAAAAAAAAATATTTTCTGATTCTGAGAAAGATGTTGCTCGTTTTATTGATAACCTAGCTCTCGAAAAAGTTTTAGAAATTAAGGAGGCGGCACTTGTCAAATCCGCTCTCAATTTTGATGAAATAGAAGTTGCTTCAATTCTTATTCCCTGAAAAAAAGTTGTTTGCCTTAATAAAGGTATGGGCTTAACGGAACTAAAAAAAATCCATCTTAAAAATTTTTTCACCCGCTATCCAGTTATTGATAAAAAAAATAAATTAATCGGAACCTTTAATATAGAAGTATTTTATTGGAGATTGATAGCAGAAAAAGATGGAAAATGACAAGATTACCTTGATAAAAAAATCATTCGTTTTTCTCCGAGCGAAAGAATGGATAAAGTTTTAACCAAACTTCAAAGTAGTAATTGTCGTTTAGCAATCGTTCAAGAAAAAAAGAAAATTATAGGTATTATCACTCTCCACGATGTTCTGAGCGTTTTAGTAGGAAAAATAAAAGAAGAAAGAGAAGTATTATTGCTTTCTCGCACCTCTAATTAATTGTTTAGTACGTAAACAATCATTTCAAGAAACAAACTCATTAAACAAACAGTAATCTAGGTAGTTTTTTTTCACCGGTTCTTTTATTTTTTTATCACAAAATTTAATATATTCAACTATTTTTTGATTTTGCTGAGCAAAATCATCAATGTTTAAATCTTTTTCTAAATAACTTTTGCTGAGAAAACTAGGACTATTTTCGAGATAGTTATAATCTCCTAAATTAATCGATTTATTATTAGTAATGGCCCAACTTTTTTGGTAATGATAGTAATGTTGAAAATCAATTACTTTTTTTTTAATCCCGTTTATTTTGGTCCAAAAATCATTATATTTTCCGGTCCTCTCTTCAATTATCTTTTTGGTAAACCAAACTAAAACTAGTCAGTGAAATAGACTATAATTAGCCTTATTTATCGCTTCCATAAAACTTTTTATAGCACCCGAACTATTAATCATTTCTTGATAAACCCGAGCAAAACCTTCTAGGGAACCATCACCGGTTGCTTTTTCATGGAATGCTTGAAAACTACCGATAATGAACGGAACGACTAAGATAATAATTGATGAATAAAGAATTATTTTGCGGACGTACTGATTTTTTCAAGTGAAAAAATTTTCCAGTTGAGGACTTTGAGGTTTTTTTTTCGGAGAAAACCAATCCCAGTGGTTAAAGGTAATAAATAACAAACTTAGAATAACAGTGAAGAAACTAAAAAAAGAATAAGTTAACAAAAGTGCACTAGTAATATGAATTAGGCTATTAATTATAAAGATAGTTAAGTTGTGGAGGTAAAAATTATTATTTTCAATATATCGGTCTTTCTTTCATAAGTATCAATTAATTAATATCGATAAGATATTAAGCACAATTATTACTAGGATAAAATAAATAGCATAAGTTAACAATTGACTCTTTTTTTGGATACTTTCTCCTAAAAAATATTGATTAAAATTTCTTTTTTTGTGTAGGATGGAATAGTAAATTTTTCCTAAAATATCGCTTTTAACCAAATACTTTCCCAAAAAATAAAATAAAGGAAGAAAAATTATTCAAGCAATAGTGCGAAACGCTCCTTGAACGAAAAAAGAGCGGGGATAATTAGGTAATTTTGTTTTTTTTTTCAACCTTTCAACCATAGTAAAGGTATTTTAGGGAGTTTTTAAAGAGATAAGTTTCTTCAACTTTTTATTTACTTTTGCGCTCCTTCTGCTTGCTTTAATTTATTTAGATTACGTTGTAATTGACTTTTCTTCCGTGCTGCTTTGTTTTTGTGAATTATTTTTTTCTGAGCGGCTTTATCTAATATTTGCTGGGCTTCGGAAACCATTTTTTTCAATTCTTTTTCGTCTTTGAGATTTTCTTTTACTTCGTTTGTTTTGTCTATATTTTTTATCAAAGTTTTGTATTTTTTATTTCTACTTTGTTTTATTTTATTTTTTTTCTGTTCTTTGATCGACATTTAATTAATTATATTTTATAAAAGTTTTATAATTATATTTTTATACTGGATAATCCAATGGTGTCATATTTATCCTTAAAATAGAACAAAAGAATACTAATATTTTTAAAAGGGTAAAGAGTGGTTACGAACTAAATTAATATTTTGTTTTTAGCACTTTGGTAAATTTTTGGTGCTAATATAATTTTGTAGATTGCCAAAAATTAATATTATATATGTCCGAAGACAAAACGAATAAAGAATATAATTTAATAATTGGGCGTCATTGCCCTTTCGAAAAACCCAACTATTTACTAGGTGCTGTTAAAGAAGCGGTAAGTTATGATGCTAATGCTTTGATGATTTATTTAGGGGCACCACAAAATACTCGCCGCCGATTTGCTTTGACTGAATTAAAAATACCTGAATTTAAAAAAATTTTAACTAAGAATAAAATAGATATTGACAATGTAATAGTTCATGGTCCTTATGTGCTAAATATGGCTAATGCAGCCCGAGAAGACATTTTTTTATGGTCTGTCGAGTTCTTAAAAAAAGAAATTAGCAGAATGGAAAAAATTGGATTAAAGACTATTGTGCTTCATCCCGGTAGCAGGGTTGACACGCCGGTTGAAGAAGCCTTATCTCAGTTAGCCAAAGGAATTAATTTAACGCTTGAAAATACTTCTACGGTCCGGATTGCTTTGGAAACCATGTGCGGTCGAGGCAGTGAAATCGGAATAAATTTCGAACAACTGAAATATATAATGGATAGAGTAGAACAAAAAGAAAGGGTAGGTGTTTGCTGAGATACTTGTCATTTATATACCGCCGGTTATGATATCAAAAATAACCTGGAAACAGTAATTAAGGAATTTGACCAAAAAATTGGCCTGGATAAGTTATGAGTTATACATGTTAACGATAGTTTGCAAGAACTAGGAACTAAAATTGACCGCCATGAAAATATTGGTTTTGGGAATATTGGTTTTGAAGTTTTAAAAAGAGTAATTTGACATCCTAAATTTGATGGGAAAGTTAAATTGTTAGAAACTCCCCGCGAAAGAGAAGTCTATAAGACCGAGATTAAGCAATTAAAAGACAATTCTGATTTATAATTTACCTCCCCGAGTTTTAAGTTTAATAGGGCGAAAAAAAATAATTCTGCACTAATTTTTCTATCACTAGCATTTTAAAATAACTAAAATCCTAATTTAATTCGTTCATTGTAATAAAACTTTATTATAGTTAAAAAAATGCCTGAATTACCCGAAGTCGAAACTGTTCGCCAAGTTTTAATCAAGTCTGGAATAATTGGTGAAACTATTCACGACATAGAAATTTATAAGCCGAAAGACGAAACCAAGAAGCGAACCAGTTTGGTTAAAGAAATGAGTGAGGAGGAATTTATTAATTTATTGAAAGGTAAAACTATTCACGAAATAGATAGAAAAGGTAAATGATTATTTTTTATTCTTATTAACCAAGAAAAAATTAAGTCGCATGTATTGGTTAGCCATTTAGGAATGACCGGAAAGTATTTTATAGAGGGAAAATTGCTTACTCCGAAGCAAAAGGAGTTATTCGAGAAGCATAACAGTGAAGAAGCAAAAGTTTTAAGTTTTTGCTTAGGTAATAATCAAGGCCCGACAAAATTAACCTACTGTGATGCTCGCCGGTTCGGAAGTCTTCGTTTACAAAAATTCGAGGATTATAAAAAGTCAGAGCCTTATCAAAATATTGGTTTGGATTTGCTGAACGACCAAATTAACCCTGAATATTTATTCAGTTGCTATCAAAAAAGAAAAGTTTCAATTAAAATTGCTTTATTAGAGCAAGATACTATTAGCGGAATTGGTAATATTTATGCTTCGGAAATACTTTTTGCTACTCAAATTCATCCCTTAAAAAAAACTAATGAACTTACTTATGCGGAAGTAGAAAAAATAATCTCTGCCACTCAATCTATTTTGAAAGAAGCCTTACAAGCAAAAGGAACTTCGGCATTTGATTTTATTAACCCCCTCGCTCAGGAAGGCAGTTATCAACATAAATTAAAAGTCTATGGAAGAAATAAAAAACCTTGTCTCACTTGTGGAAACTTAATTAAAAAAATAGAGAAAGAAACTAATAATCGGAGTACTTTCTTTTGCCCGGAGTGCCAAAAAATTTAGCAATTTATTAATTTTTCGGAGGAAGATTAAATAATTTTCAACTATTAGCATGGGTTATTTTTGCGATTTCTTCTCAATTCATTTGTTTAATTTCCCCAATTTTTTTTAAAGTATAAATTATATTGGAGGGATAATTATTAATTTGTCTCCCGCGGAATGGTTCGGGAGTTAAATAAGGAGCATCAGTTTCTACTACTAACCTTTTCAAGGGCACTTTTTCTAAGGCTTCTTGTCATTTGTCTTTCCATTTAGCTTTTTTATAAGTAATATTACCGGCAAAAGAAATATAAAATCCTAATTCGATAAATTTACGGGCTATTTCTCAATTTCCGGTAAAACAATGTAAAATGCCTTTTTGTATTTGTTCCTCTTTTACTATTTGATAAGTCTCATTAAAAACTTCTATATGCTTTTCTTCTGCTTCACCTCTAATATGTAATAGCACTGGTAAATCGTATTTTTTGGCTAAGGCTAATTGTTTTTTAAATCAGTATTTTTGTTTTTCAATTTCGGTGAAAGGGCGATAATAGTCTAACCCAATTTCCCCAATCGCAATTATTTTTTGGTTAATTAATTGTTTCTCTATTCAGTTTAAGTTTTCTTCTGCCAAATCTTCATTACTGTTGGGGTGTAAGCCTAAGGCACCAAACAAACTGGGAAATTCCGTTAATTGTTGGATTACTTTTTGATTACTTGCTTTGTCATAACCAACATTAAGGATATGTTTCACTCCCGCTTTTTCAGCGGCTTGAATAATTTCTTTCGGATGTTGGTTTGAGTGGTGATATTTTTTGTCGGCTAAATGACAATGGGTATCAAAAATAGTTAATTTATTCATTAAAATTTTGAAAAAAAACTAATTTCTCTAAAAAAAGAATTATTTTATTCTTCTTTAACTTCCTTTTTTTTTCACACCATTACTAAGGCAACTCCTATTATTACTATTGCTCCCAAAACAATCGGAACTACTACCTTTCAAGGGAAATTAGAAGAGTTATCTTTATCACCACCATTATTATGCTGATTAGGAATATTTAAGCACTTTAATAACTGCTGAGCCTCGGTATTTTTGGCTTGAAAGTAGATATCATCAATGGCTAGAAAATTATTTATCTCTGTTTTCGCCTCGTCAATTTTAGTTTTATCATTGCTACTTATGGCTTTATCGGCTTTGTCTTTTATAAGTTTGAATTTTTTATTAGCATTAGTTTCCCCAATTTTTTTTAAAGCCGCTTCCTCAATTCCTTTAATTTTTTGTTTATCAGAGATATTATTATCTTTTAGGTCTTTTAAATCTTTTTTAATTTTATCACCTAAATCTTGCTCGTTTAGACTAACCTCACTCAAAGCCTCTCCGATTATTGTATGAACTGTTTTGGCATATTTCTTTCCGGTAGGGTCGTAATCTTGTAATCTTCTCTGTTGGGCTTCAATTTCGGTTTTTTTATTTTTATAAGCGGTAGTTCTTGAAAATTTGGCAATATTTTTCATAACCGGTTCCAATTCTTCATAATTTTCTTTGCTTTTGGCTTCGGCTAAAAGTTTATCCAGTTTACTGCCACTTTCTTTTCTAGTTCTAATATTTTTAATTTCAGTGATTAGTTTATTTTTAAAATTATTAATTTCATTCTCTTTATCTAAACCATTTAATTTATTTTCCCAATCAGCATTTTGCCCTAATTCACTATTTTCGGTTTTGGGTGCTGTGTTTAGTTCAGTCTGAATATCACTTTTGGCTCGGTCTCGCACTTGGGAAATATCTGGTGTATCTGGACCTCTACCTGCTACTAAATCCTCAATTAAATTAATTACTTTATCCTTGCGTTCCAAAATATTCTCGATTTTCTTTCTTACATCCTTAGTATTATTGAAAGCTTGCTTTTTTGCTTTTTTTTCATTTAATTTCTGAATTCTTTCATCATCGGTTAGAGCTGTGTTTTTAAAAAGATAAAAGTATTTATCCTCAATTTTTTCCCCTAACGTTAGGGTCGGTAGTGCTTGGTTGGCTGAAACCCCATTCTCTGACCTTTCACTTTCTGTTTTAAATTGGATTAAATACTTAGAAAAATTAGGGTCTCCGCCTTCTACTTTCGCCTTTACTTCATTATATTTTGCTAGTGTAGCATGGTTGCTTATGTTTTTTCATTTTTCTATCTTATCATTATATTGTTGGTCGGTTATACCACCATTTTTCTTTCATTTAGCAATCTCCATTTTTAAATATTTTATTTCTTCCTTTTTGGGGTCAATCGTATCTTTAAATTCCTTAACTCTTTTTTTAAGGTCTGTTCTCACATCTTTCATTGTCTTATCATCAGGGGAATAGGGAGTTGTATAATTTTTACCTTCTATCCCTAACTTGACTTCATTACTCAATCCATTTCAACGTGCCGTATAACCTATTTCGCTGTGGATTTCATAATAGGTTCCCGTGCTATTAATCAAATCTACTAAATTTTGCAATTCAGAATGGGTTTTATCCATTTTGCCTGGTTTTTCACCTTTTCCATATGCTTGCTTTAACTCCTCAATATATTTCTTACATTGATTTTCATCTGCATTATCAATTTCTTCATCAGAGGGTCCCACATAATCTATTAATTCGGTATAATTATCTCCTTTAATTGGCGTAAGATTGTGAAGTGCCTCTCGTGGTATTCATAAACCTTTTGCATTTTCACTATAAAACAAATCCGCATTTTCAGTATTAAATTGAAAAAGTTCAAATTCCTTACCTATGTTTTGAGGATTTAATAGAGAATCAGAAAGGATATCACTTCCTTCATCCTCTTTTCCTTTTTGTGTCATTTCGACAGCTAATTGAGACACTTTTTTATTTTCACCCTTTACCTCTATATCTGCTTCTTCTACCCCCGCTAATAAATAAATTGTTCCCGGATTATGTTGTATTCCGTTTCATAATTTACCTAATAAACTTTGTTCTTTTTCTTCTGGTAGTTTAACTCTTTCCTCAGCTGTTTTTTTTAATTTTAATTTAACATTTTTTAATACCATATGTTTTTAATACTGCTTATTAATTGTAATTTATTTCTATTTTTGCTTCTAGTTGGTTAGTTTGTAATTCTTGTAAATATTCTAAATGGTTTTCTAAATTATTTATTTCTTGCTGATTAGTTAAAATATTTTCTATTTCAGATTGGTATTCAGATAAAACTTCTTTTAGTTCAGATAATTTTTCTGAATTAGGTTTTTCAGCAAGTAGTTTTTCAAATAAATATTTTTCGGCTTTACCGAGTTTGTTTTTAGTATTAGTGATTTTTTTCTCTAACTCTGTTTTTTTAGTTGGAATTTGAATAACCAGTTCACTAATTTTTAAGCGAGTTATTTCAATTTTTAAGTCATAAAAATTGTTGGAGAAATCAGAGAATAATATATTGCTAATTTCTGCTAAATTCTTTTTCTCTTTCTCCACTTGGGAAAATTCAAGCAAGTTAGTCAAGTTCTTATATTCTGGTTCATTGAAAGGAATATTGAGATAAACATTATCTAATCAAGTGCTATTACTAATTGGAGAAAGCATTAAGTTGTTTTTGCTTTCTCCTTGGTATCAGTTATAAGTCTCTTTGCTTCCTAAAACCATTAGACCACCCAAAGTTAAATGTTTAATTTTAGTTTTTCAGGAAAGTTGGTGGTTTAGTCTAGATTCTAATTTTTTTATTTTGTTATCTTTTTCTAACGAAGAAACATAATCTATTAATCCTTTAAAAAAATTTTCTACTTCCTCAGAATACTCGCAATAGTTACAATAATAATGGCGACATTCATTGTTAATTCTTTCTATTTCTTTTTTAATATATTTCGCTACTATCTTTAAATGTTTGCTTATTAGTCCATTTTCTTTATCTTTTCATTCTGATACCAAATTCAAGCTTTCTGAAGTTAAAGATTTTTCTCTATATTTTAACTCTTCCGTAAAAAGAAGTATATCAAAAATGTCAATAAGTCTTTCTCAAACCAATAAGTAGTCATTAGCATATTCATAATTTTGGGTTAGCCAATTGAAAAAATTCTTTCTCGCTTCTGACTTATCTTGTTTCTCTTTTTCTTCTACCCATTTTCAAATAGTAGTTCAAATAGGCGATTTGTCCTTTTTATAATCCCAACAAAGTCAACCATTATCAGGCAAAAAAAAACTACTAAACAAAACCAAATCATTTATTTTATGTGTTTGATATCTTTGATTAATATTTTTTAACATGTTATCAGCAAAAGTAAATACTTCCTCTCATTCTATCCCCGCTTTTCTACTTTCGTCCTCGTTTAGTCAATTTTTAAAGTCTTGTAAATTTCGCATTGCCTGAATTTTTATTTTAAATCTATTTTACAAAAAAAAAAAAAAAAACAGTGGGGGGTTTTGGAGGATAATTTTGGGGTTTTTCAGTGTTTTCATTTTTACTTCAACTCGTGAATTATAAGGATGATTAAGGATTTTTAAAATAAAATTTTATCCTTTTTTGGTTATTTCTATTGCCTTAATTTTAAAAAGAGAAAGACAAATTTATTAATCTTACTTCGGTTTTTTTTTTCAGCATTTTTAGGCTAATATATTTTTTTTTTTCTCAAAAGGAAGGATTTTTTTCCGGTCATTCAATAATGTTTAAATTATCCATGGTTAACTCTTGAAAAACAGTTAAATTGTCGCTCGGATTTAAGCGAAAAAAATCAAAATGGTTTAAATAATAATTGTCTTTTATTAGGTGCTGTTGTAAAATGTTGAAAGTAGGAGAAGTTATTTTTTCTTTAATTCCAAGGATTTTGGCTATTAATTGGGTTAGGGTGGTTTTCCCCGCTCCTAATTCTCCTTGTAAAAGTAAGAAAGTATTGGGAGATAAAAAAACAGTTAAAAACTTAGCCAACTTTTCAAGGTCATCCAGATTATTTATTTTTGTTTCAAGTGATAGCATTATTAAATTTTAAGTTTTGATTTGTCTTTCATATAACAATTTTTCAAGCATATATGAAAAAGGACAGTTTGATAATCTCCTTAACAAACCCTATTCTTACCAACTCCTAATTTCAAACCTAAATCTCGACTGGGAAACTTATCAAAGTGAATAAGGAAACAAAGGAGTAAGAATAAATAAATCATCCTGCATTTTTTATGAGGAATGATAAATCTCTTTTCGATGGCCTACTTTTACTACCATTATTATCATTTCTTTTTCTTTTACTTTGTAAACAACCCGATAATCACTAAACCGAAAACGATAAAAACCTTTATAATCATAAGAGAGAGGTTTTCCTCTTTTAATGGGATTTTTGACTAAATATTTTTATACTTTATTAAAAATCTTTTGGGCTAGTTTCTTATCCAGTTTAGCCAAATCTTTCTCAACCTTATCTTTCCAAATTACCTGATACATTTACTCCAAATTAAGTTTTTTTTTAATTGTTCAGAAGTGTAATATTTGGCTTTTCCTTGATTTTTAATATGTTCTTGAACGTCTTGAATATCTTCTATTTCTTCTAAATACTGAATTAAAGCCTTTTTGATATGGAATTCTCTTGGTTTTTTAGTAATTGCTTCTAAATGTCGGAGGTCTTTTTCCAATTCTTTTTCAACCTTTTTAGATAAATTTAAACTTATAGTTAGCATAATTTAATTTTAAAGATATACAAAGTTATATTATAATTATTAATTTTTCGGCAGATAATTTGAACCTTCTAAATCAAATAGCGAATAATTTTCGGCAAGAAACTTATCAAAAAATAAAAGAGATTTTAATTAAGCATAGAATATTTAGGTTAGGTTTTTTAATCCACCTAAATAATTCATAATATTCCGAACGATAATTATTTATTACAATGCCAATAATTATTCATAGTTTAATTTTTGCTCTAAACCCCTTGAAAATAAGAAATTCGGACTTTGAATTACTATAAAAAAACTCTAATAATGTAATATTCTATTATTTTACTAATTGATAAAAAATATAACTTTACCTCCCTGATTTTTTTCTAGGGCTTCCCGGTGAGTTAGTAATCCAGTAGAAGTAGAAATAATATAAAAACCTCGCTTATGACACTGTTTTTTGATTTCCTCTACCCCTAAATGAATGTGTTGGGAAGGCTTAGAAATCTTTTTTAAATGGTGAATGCGACTGTTTTGGTTGTTGTATTTAATATCAACTTTAATCTTTCGATTTTTTTCATCAAACCAACACTGCGAAAGAAAATTACTTTCTTCTAATTTTTTACATATTCTTCATTTAAAAGCAGAATGAGGAAAGGAAACGGTGCGATAACCCCGCATGTTAGCATTGCGGATAGTGGTTAGCATATTAGCAACTGGGTCGGATAATGTCATATATTATTTATTTTTTTATATATTTTGATTTTAATTAGAAGATTTTTTGAAACCCGGCAATCGACCTTGGTTAAAGTATTCAATAAGATGTTGGCGGCAAATTCGACTACCAAAAATGCGGTATACAGAGCGGGAACGTCCACATATAAGGCAGCGCGAATGTTTTCTAACCGGATATTTGGGAGGTTTATTTGCCTTAACAATTAATGCTTTACGTGCCATATTATTCTATCGGTTAAATTTATGAATTAAATTAAGAGTTTTTAAACCTTCTAAGTCTGTTTTTTCATTAAAAAATAAGGCTAAAATATCCCCTAAAAAAATTAAGGAAACGAAACTTACCCCTCCACTAATAAAAAATGTAATAGCTTTGGTTATTCTGCTTTTATTCATATATTTATTTTAACATTTTAGTTTTGGGGTTTGGCGTTTTAAGTCTTTTTGGTCGGTCGGAAAGTTAAATTATTTTAAAAAAATTCTGTCTAAAATTTAGTAGGCGGATTGGTTATGGCGGTAAAAAAATAGAAAAAATAACCTTATAAATTAATGAGCATTATTCAGCGACTAGCAACTAAAAAAAATGAATTAGAAAAAAGATTAGAAGGACAGTATTCAGGAAAAAGCCAAGGAAAAGAAATATTACAATATAAAATTGAAAAATTGGAAGAATTAATTACTATTTATGGTTCTGCTTCTCCCTCAATGTCTCTAACTAATGCTAGACAAATGCTCGACCAACAAGTCGGATTTGAGGAACAAAAAAAGGAACTTTTGGAAAGTTTAGAAATTGCCGAATTTTGAGAACCGAAAGGGATTAGACCAAAGCCTTTAATTTTGTGTCTGGTTGGACCAACTGGAACCGGCAAGACTTCTTTTTCGCAAATAATTTCCCAAGCCTTAGGCAAGAAATTTTTTTCGGTATCATTAGGAGGATTATCTGAAATTTCTACTCTTGTTGGCAGTGAGGCTACTTCTCCGGCAACCAATATGGGGCAGTTGGCTCAGGCCTTAGTGGAAACAAAAACTTCGGACCCGGTAATTTTGTTGGATGAAGTTGACAAAACCGGCTTGGCTCTGAAAAATTGTCTGTTAAACATTTTAGACTCAACCCAAAATCAATCCGTTCTCGATTATTATTTGGAAACTAAGTTAGATTTTTCAAAAGTGACCTTTATAATTACGGCTAATGAACTTAAAAAAATCCCGCGACCTTTACATGACCGAATGCTAACTATTGAATTAGCGGGCTATACCGCTGAGAAAAAGAAAGAAATTGCAAACAAATTTATTCAAATATGATTTAGTGAGAATGCCATTCTGAACCAAAAGAATTTCGAAATTACTCCTGCCGCGGTTGAAACTTTAATTAATAAAACCAAGGAAAAAGGAGTTCGAAACCTAAAAAAAGGACTTGATAAGGTTTTTAATTATTGTCTTTTAGAATGAGCCCACGAAAAGAAACAAGGGAAAACCGCAAGCAAAATTACCATTACTCCGAATCTAGTTAACCAAATTATTCCGCTTAATTTCACTAATCCGGAGGAGAATGAACCCAAAAATGACCCAACTGAATTAGTTAAAATTAGCCAAGCCTTAGCAAAATTACAAAACGAAAACGAAAAATTAGCAAGTATTCTTTCCGAAAGCCAAAAAGAGTTAGAAAAATTGAAAAAAAACAACCAAGATTTGGAGGGGCAAGTTAAAGGGTTAGAAAAAAATTTCTCGAAAGATAATAACTGACCGGTTGGTTATGGTTGGTGAATAGGGATAATAAGTTCCTTATTTATCGGGTTTTTTGTCTCGCATTGGTTTAGAAAAAAATCAAAATAAACAAATATCTAATTTCAATTTATATTTTTTTCTCATAAATATAGACAGTTAATAATTTCCTTTTTTTAGGATTTTTTATGGTCTTTCAATAAGATTTCTTATCATAATATAATTTCTTCAAACAAGTATTACAAATATGTTTGTTTCGGTCTTCTTCGGAGGTGCTATCTATCCAATAATTTCAATAATTTTTTTTACTATAATCATGCGAAGGGATAACTCATTTAATAATAATTTTAGTTTGGCATTTAAAGCAATAGAATAGTGTAGGAGGTGGAGAAGTGACTCTTACAAATTCATCTTTATTTTTTTTCTCGTTTTTTCGCTTTACCTGCACCATATTAGAATTTTAAGGTTTTTACACTTAAAGATTTATAAAAAAGGTTAAATTTGGTTTTCATATTTTCTGTTTGTTGTCTAAACTTATAATAAACTTACTAAAATATATTTACGGGATGAAAAACAATTTAGAAATAGATATTCAAGCATAGAAATTAATACAAAAAACACAATAGATATAAAAGATATAAATTAAACAAAAATGTATACAAATACTAAAAAATATTGAGAATATATAATAAATAGCTATATAAATCATTATAAATTTACTGTATGGTTTGAGGGTTATCCTAATTGAGAGGAAGCCATTGATAAAGTTAATACTTTAAAAGAATTAAACCAACTAGGTCGAAAATTCAGGGAAGAAGTAGCAAGTGAAGGAGTTTTAGGTGGTTTAACTAACTTTAAAGGACTATATCCTTGGGAAGAAAAGAAATTGATAGAAAATATTATCCTAGATTCAACTGAATTAGAAAACACTATTGCTAATTTCGAAAACAAACTAAAAGCCATAGTCGGTAATGATTTAAAAGATTGAGAAAATAAGATAACCAAAGTCGGTAGTAATGAGCAAGAAGTAATAAATTTACGCAAGAAAAAGGAGGAATTAAGAAAAACCTTAAAAGAAAAAGAACAACAAATTATTACTTTATCTAATCATAAATGTGATACCCCAGAGGGGAAAGAATTAAATCTGTGGAAAGAAAAAGTAGTTGAATTAACCACCGAAAAGGATAAATTACAAAAGAAAATAAAAGATTTTGAACTTTCGGGAGATGACGGAGAAAATTTGGATAATCTAACCCCCGAACAACTGAAACATAAAATCTATAATACAAGAAAGGAAATTACTAAATTAAAGTCGGAGATAGGCAAAAACAACAATTCTAATCCGGAAGGGGCTAATTATGGTCATTGGATTTTAGGAGGAATGGGTATTTTGATAGTCGGTTTTTTAATTTTATTGGTTATTCCAAAAAAAAAAAAAAAAACAACCAATTTATCGGTAGTGAAATTTTTATAAAGGAATTGCCGATATCGAGTTGGAGAATTAGGTCAACTCGGTATTACTAAGTGTAGAGCAATATATTATTACTCTACCAATAATTATTTATAATTTAATTTTTGCTCTAAACCCCCGAAAATAAGGAATTAGGACTTTAAATTACTATAAAAAAACTCTAACAATGTTATAGTTCGATTTTCATTTCAAACCTTTAAAAAAGAGTTAAAAAATTTGGAATTGATGATAAAAAATCTCTAATATTATAATAGCGAAAAAAATCCCTTATTTTCCGTTTTGCAAATTTAGATTATTTATCCTTTTTTTTCAGTTCAGCCATGTTTTTTTAAAAAATCATTTACCGCTTTTTTTCCTCCGGGATTAGTTTCTTCTTTTTGCTGGCGAGGCTGATAATCAGGGTCGGCTTCGTCTTTAACCGGCATTAAAAACAACTTACTTAAAAAATATTTCAGGGCATAAGTTTCACTTGCTCCTTTGGCTTTGGCTAAGTCTACATTACTACCACAAGCCCAAAAATTAAAAAATAGTTTATTTTGGGGTGCTTCGATATCAATTATTTCCAATTTCTTTAAATATTTAATAAAATGTTCTTTGCCTTCTTTTTCGTGGATGAAAGGTTGAGAGGTATCGTCGCTTAACAGAATAGTTAATTTATATTTATTTAATAAAGGCTTTAATAAATGTAAGACTTGTAATTCATTAAAAAAAAAATATTTTTGAAATTTATTTTCTTCGGTGCGAATCAGTTCTTTTATTTCGGTTTGAATCAGTTGAAGTTTAGCAAAAATATTTGGTTTTTCCATAGATATATATTTTTTATTCTTAATTGAATTAGATAACGAGAAAATTAATTTTAACCAATTTAGTTTAATTGATTATTAAATTAATTTTTTTGAAACAGTATTTTATTTTCACCATTTTACCGGCGGAAGAAAATTTTTCAACCACTCCATTTACTAAGTTATATTTTTATAAGAAAAGAGGCTTTAAATCCATTTTTTTCATCATAAAATAGTTTTTATCCTTCATCAAAATTCCCAACCGGTTTAACTTTTCCTTCCATCGTTCCAATTCAGCAAACAAAAATTCGCTTAGTTTTTTTATAGATTTGTCTCTTCCCTCCATCTTCTACTTTTGAAGGATTTTCTCTTTCTTTAAAAAAAATTTCCATTCCTCCGGGAAACTTATCAAAAGCAGAATTACCTTCTTGGATAAGAAAATGTTGAGAGCCTCCCTCGTGGTCCCAAACGTAAAATCTTTCTCCTCTGCCAGTTATGAAAGTTTGATTATAGACGAGTTTTTTATATATACTTTCTAGTATTTTTTTTCATTCTGCGGCAGTAAGTTCCATGCCCCTTTCGTCGTGAACTCTTGCTCCTGACGTGAAAGTAAACTTTTTCCTGGATTTAATATTAATATTAAATGGGTTGCCGCCCCCTATGTCAGTCTTCACAATTTTCCTTTCTAACTTTCATTGACTTGGATTATCTATAATTTCCTGAATGAATGCTTGCCTTATCTGCCGGTAATCACTTTCTTCAAAAATCCCTTTTTCATAAACAATTAACCCCATTGTATCAGCATCTATTATTACCCCTCTATCATCAGCAAAGAAAATACACCACTCTGAAATGTCGCTTAATATTCTTTCTCTTAAAATCCCAGATAACTCTTTCATTACTTTTGGTGAACTATCTGCCTGATTAATTTTTTGCTTTTCTTCCGCAGTTGGATTATCTATTTTTTCTAAGGCTTCTTTTTTAGTTTGAGCGAGAGGGTTATTATTCGGCGGTGTTGGTGGAGGGGATTGGGGCGGTTGTGGAGTAGGATTTTCCGGTGGTGGGGTTGGGGAAGGCTGAGGGTTGGGTTCTTCCGGTGGAGTAGGAGTATCGGGTTTGGGTAAGGGAGGAAAGGGTATTCCTAAACTATTACTAATGGCTTTGCTTTCTTGCTCTAATTGCTGGATTAGTTTGGTTTGCTCTAAATTGGGTTGGCTAGCCAAATTTTTTAATTGCTTTTCTAAATTATTTATACGGGTTTCTAATTGGAAAACTTTTTGTTTATTAGTATTTAATGCTTGCTGTAATTCAGCCAATTTAGTAGGCGTAAGCGTATCAGTATAAGATTTATCGGCTAAAAGAGCGGTTTGGCTCTGAGCAGTAGTTTTTAATTTACTTAACTGGCTCTTTTGGCTGGTTAGGTGAGTTTGGAGTTGGTGGACTATTCTGACCGAAGTGAGTTTTTTAGTTTCCGTTTGAGGGGCTTTTTTGGGTCAAACCAAATAAGTAATGGTTCCAATACTAACTAAGGCAAGGATTCCACTAATTAGATAAATTATGTTTTTTTTTTTTTTTTTGCGGAGATTTGATTCATAATTTTTTACCATTTAATTAATTTTATTAATATTAATTAGTTAATTAGTGATTTTTCTCTAAATAGTTTTTATCTAGTTCATCCAAAAAAGGAGAGTAAAGTTCTTGACTACTAACTAAATAGAGAAATTTTTTGGCTCGGGTAATTCCAACATAAAATAACCTTCTTTCTTCGGTAATGTCTTGGGTTTCCCGATAAGGTAAAGTTCCGCGGTCTAGATAAACAAAAAATACCACCTCAAATTCTAAACCTTTGGCTTGGTGAACCGAGGAAAGAATAAGGTTATTACGGGTTTTAATTAATTTTTTATCTTCGAAAGCGATTATCAGCCATTGTAAAAAATTATTTAGCAATTCGTCTAAATTAGAATATTCCTTACGACGCTTATTTTCTCAATTTTGAGCGATAGTGAGGAATTGTTGAACATTTTTTTCTCTTTCGGTCGAATTAACTCTGGTTTTTAAATGCTCTCAAAAATTAAAATCATTAAGCATCCCCAAAAGGAAAGTGTAAAGAGAAAATTTTTTGACTAACTTTGTTTGGTGGTTATTAATTTTTTGAATAACTTCATTAATTTTTTCTAATTGAGTGGGGGTGGCTAATTTGTCCTGGCTTGAACTGGCAACCGGAGCAGACTTATTAAGATAACTGTATATACTTATTCCCTCTTCCTCGCTACTTTTTTCAATTTTTTCAATGGTACGGATTCCAATTTTTTCTTGCAAGCCTAGCACTCGCAATAAAGCAAGATTATCTTGGTAAATTATGGTTCGACAAAAAGCCAAAACATCTTTAATTTCCTCCCGCTCAATAAATTTAAAAGAACCTAATATTTCATAAGGAATTTTTTGGGAGGTAAGTTCCATTTCAATTCGGCTAGAAAGATAATTATTTCGATAGAGAATAGCAATATCGCTAAATTGAAGATTTCCTTGTCGCAGTAAATAACGGATTTTGGCGACAATATGCCGCACCGAAACTCGGGTAAGTCAATTTATTTTCACTCCTCTTTGTTGGGAGGTAGTTAGGAGATTATTAACTAAACTAGCCTGATTTTTTTCCACAAAAGAATTAGACAAATGAAGTATATTACCGGTCGAGCGATAGTTGACATTAAGGTAGATTGTTTTTCACTTTTTATCCCGGGCAAAGGAAGAAATTAGTTCGGGAGTGGCTCCCTGAAAACCATAAATGGCTTGGTTGGGGTCGCCGACTAAAAAAACTTTCTGCTTCTCGCTTGAAATTAGTTTGATAATCTCTCATTGAATAGCATTGATATCTTGAAACTCGTCCAGTAAAATATGGGTAAATTGTCGTTGATATTCTTCCCGCACCGGAGAGTGATAGTTAAAAAGTTTTATGGTATAAAGAAGTAAATCGTTAAAATCAAGGGCTTGGTTGGTTTTTAAATATTCTTGGTATTTTAAATATATTTCGTATCTTCTTTTAGTTAGTTCGTCGAATTGTAAAGGGTCGGTGTTTAGTTTGCCATTTTTTCAGCCACTAATACAGGAAATAATGGTATTTATCTCTTTCTTTTCAGTATTATAATTTTCTTGGTAGAGTAATTTACGAATTACAGTTTCTTGCTCGTGGCGGTCATAGACCGGAAATTTATTTTCGGGAAAGCCTAAGAGGTGGGCGTGTCGGTTAAGAATCCGAAAGCAAAAAGAGTGAAAGTTATGGATATGAAGTTCTCGGGGAGAAATATCGCTAAGGTGAGAGAAAACCCGTTTTTTAATTTCTTTAATCGCCTTTTTGGCAAAAGTTAGCACTAATATATTTCGAGGTTGGGCTTTTTGACTGGATAATAAGTAAATAATTCGGCTAACGAGGGTTTTGGTTTTGCCACAACCCGGTCCGGCAATAACGCAGATACGAGAACTTTCCTCATATACCGCTTGTTTTTGTTGTTGGTTTAACTCTTCAAAAATTCCTTCCATCCTTTAATAAATTTTAACTAAAATAGAAGTAAGAAGAAAATAATTCCAGTTTGGGAAAATTGTTTTCCTTAAAATTGGTAAATTGTTACTCCTATTACTTTATAATATATATATATATATATAGCATATGAATCAAAAAATAACTGAAATTGAATTTAAAAAATGAAGCGAACAAATATTTAATCTAATTTCGCGAATAACTTCCCCTAGCAAGGGTTTTATATTCGAAACCGAAAAAGAAAGAGAAGAAATTATAAAAGTTGGTATAATTGGTTCTTTTTGAACCAAAGAGGGTGTCCTTTTAGCCCCTTCGTTAGGCACTATTGCTTTGTCAGCAGCACGATTAAAGAATGATATTCCGATGAGTGAGTTTGATGGTTTGACCCTTGACCAATGAGCGGTTAAAGTTACTGACAGATTAAGGGAGCATTGCATTGCTAGTGGTTATTATAAACCCAGTTCTCCGCCGAACCTTGCTGTGCTGAAAGAGAGAAGAAAGAAAGTAATAAAAATTTTTGAAGATATGAACGAACTCAAAAAATTACTAAATTATGCTAATCCAGAAGAAGAAAAAATCATAGTCAATTTTGGCGGATTTCTTAAATCATTAAAAACCGCTGCTGGTGATGATAAATTACCTGTTGATGATACGGATATTCCTCGGGCAACGGATTTTCTTTTTGAAGATATGGTGGGAAGAGTAGAAAAATTAATTAGTTTAAAAGAGGCGGCTGAAAAACCAGGTGCTCCTCCGGTTATACCCCCTAATTCGCCTAATAATATTCTTGAAACCGAAATTGAAAATTTAAAAAAGCAAATCGAAAGTTTAAAAACTATTTCGCAAAACACTTTGGACCCTACTCAAAAACAGGTTTACCTTGATTTAATTAAAGATTTTGAAAAGGCATTGGCGGACAAAAACCAAGAAAAAAACCGAAAGCAAAACCAAGAGGCAAACAAAAATGATAATAAATTGAATATTGCGATTGGTTTGGGAGCGGCGGCGTTAGTAATTGCCTTAATTTGTTTAATTGTGGTGGCTAGTCGAAAAAAAGAAAGAACTTAAAATAATACTAAAAATAATAATATATAACAAACTAATTTATGGCAGAAAATATAAAGCAAAAATTTAATCGAGAAAAACCACATGTAAATATTGGAGGTATAGGTCATGTTGACCATGGCAAAACTACTCTTATTGCGGCAATAACTAAATATTTGTCCGAACACAAAGAAAAAGGACAAGCCAAGTTCAAGGCTTACGGAGAAATTGATAAGGCTCCGGAAGAGAAAACGCGGGGAATTACTATTAGCACCTCTCATGTCGAAATTGAAACTTCAAAGCGACATTATTCTTGAATTGATTGTCCCGGACACGCCGATTATGTTAAAAACATGATTACCGGAGCGGCTCAAATGGATGGAGCAATTTTAATTCTTTCAGCCCAAGATGGTTCAAAAGAACAAACCAAAGAGCATTTGCTTCTTGCTAAACAAATTGGAATTGAATACTTAGTTGTTTTCCTTAACAAAGTAGATATGGTTTCAGATTTGGAAGAAATAGACTTAGTAAAAGAAGAGATTAAAGAGGATTTAAGAAAAGCCGGTTATGATGCTGAAAAAATTCCGATTATCGGTGGTTCAGCCCTTTGTGCTCTGGAAGGACGTAATCCCGAAATGGGAGAAGAAAAGATTTCTGATTTATTAGATGCCATTGACAATTATATTCCCACTCCGCAGCGAAATGTAGATGCTCCTTTCAAAATGTATATTAAGGATATAATTTCAATTACTGGTCAAGGAACAGTGGTAACCGGAGATGTAGAGCAAGGGGTATTAAAAAGAGGTCAAGAGGTAGAAATATCAGGATTAGGAAATGAAACTATAAAAACAGTTGCCACTAGTATAGAAATGCATAAGAAAGAATTAGAAGAAGCCCGAGCCGGTGATGATGTGGGAATTAAATTACGAGGGGTTAAAAAAGAGCAAATTACGAGGGGTCAACTTCTTTCCGTAGCAATTAAAGGAACCAAAATTAAAACTTATAACAAATTTTTCGCTACCGCTTATATATTAAGTAGAGAAGAAAGAGGAAGACATACTAATTTCAGAGATGGTTATCGTCCCCAATTTTACCTTGCTGCCACTGATGTAACTGGAACAATAGAATTGAAAGATAAAAGTCAAGAGGTAGCACCAGGAAGCACAGTTGAGTTTACTGTTAATTTAATTAAACCACTGGCTATTGAGAAAAACGAAAAATTCATTATTCGGGAAGGCGGGCATACAGTCGGTCAAGGAACGATTTTGGAAACTCTTGAATAAAATTAATAGAAATTGAGAAAGTTTAAACTCAATTACCAAAATGGTTGATGAAGAAATTAAGTAAATATTGAAAAATTAAACTAAACTAATAATAATGAATAAT